AAAGCGACGGAGAGATGAAGGACGAACATAGAGGGGGAGCCGAGGGAGAGCGTTTTGTTCTGTGTTCTTTGTATTGCAGCCACGCTCCCTGCGCCGAGGAGACGCATCTCGGAAACTCAAAGAATTTAATCTCGGTATTTCTTCCGAATCCGCGCTCAATCTGCGGCGTCAATTGCGCTGGTCGCCACAAACGCCTTTGGATTGTCTTGTACTCCAGGACCATAACTCGCCTCCCTCCCTCTCCCTCCCTCCTCCTCCACTCTTTCTGTCCATGGGCGGTGTTCTATGCTGTTTGTCCTCGCCCATCGACTTCGACGGCGAAGTCGATCTCTACCACTTTGATCTCCTCCGAGCGGTGGGCAAAGGCGCCTTTGGCAAAGTGAGCATTGATGTCGCCCGCTGGCATCCCCCCGAAGTAACAGCCGCCTCCACAGGTCCGCATTGTAGAGCACAAGTGCACGAAGAAGGTATATGCCCTCAAGTACATCGAGAAGGCAAAATGCATTAAGCAGAAGGCCGTCGCTAATATCATCCAGGAGCGTCGGCTCCTCGAAGAGGTGTGCACGTCTCCCCCGGGTGCGATGATGCGCGTCATCGTACCAACTCTGCTATTCTAGATCGACCACCCCTTTGTCGTCAACCTCCGCTATGCCTTCCAGGACGACGAAAACTGTTTCTTTGTCTTGGACTTGATGCTCGGGGGCGATTTGCGTTGTACGTCTACGATTCTCTCTGCTTTACTTGTCTAACGCGAGTCTTCTAGTCCATCTGGACCGGTTGGGTCGAATACAAGAGAAGGTGGTGCGGTTCTGGGCAGCTGAGCTCTCGTCCGCGCTGTCATACCTCCACAAACAGAGGATCGTACATCGGTATGTGCTGCTCGTACTGCACACTTCATTCACAGCAAAATGTAACCTCCTGCGGCAGCGATCTCAAGCCGGATAATATCTTATTGGACTCGGCTGGACATGTCCATATAACCGACTTTAATGTCGCCATCCACTACTCGGAGCGGCGGCTACATACCAGCGTTGCAGGCAGCATGGCATACATGGCTCCAGAAATCATTGGGCACAAAGGCTACACTTGGCACGTCGATTGGTGGAGTTTGGGCATCGTTGTATGGGAGCTTCTTTTTGGTCGGCGGCCGTTTGATGGCCGCACGTCGGAGAAAATGAAGCAGTCTATTGTCAAAGATCCGTTGAAGTTTTCTTCTCGGGCTGACAGCCTCTGCACCGCACATGGCCAAGATTTTGTTCGCAAGGTAGGTCTTCACGCGTGTTCTGCGTCTCCTCACGTTAACCTTCTCATTAGTTGTTGGACCGCAATCCCAGAACCAGAATGGCGTGTCGAGGGAGGACACACGGTATTCAGGACGTGCACGAGCACCCATGGTTTTCCGAAATGGACTGGGATGAGCTGGAGAGCAAAAACTTGCAGCCCCCGTTTGTTCCCGATGTCGGTGTGCTCTCGTCTTGTGACCTATATCCCGCTCATGTCCATACAGATCAGCAAAGCAAATTTTGATGTCTCGCACGAATTGGACGAGTTCTTGATGGTCGAGAAGCCATTGACCCACACGAAGCGCAAAGCACGCGTCGACCTCGAGAAAATGAAGCCGGATCTGCGCCAGCTCGTAGAACAGTACGTGTGCGCGGCTCCCACTTAGCTAGTTTTCCTCAATCTTTCATAGGTTTACTGTCTACGACTTCACAAAGACTAAGCGGATGTCGTATTACCCGCATAACCAACCTGTCGTCTCAGCTGGACACGACGATGAAGGCGGCGACGCTGAACCTGCGGAAGCTAGCCAGTCGGCGACGGCTACCATTCTCCCTACAGCGACGATCGTTGAACGCTCACAGGCCGGCTCGCCAGACCCAGGAGATTGCTCTGGGCGGGAAACTCCGGCCATGCCTCCCTTGCCCGCAGAATCACCCATATAAGCCCGTGTTCATTTGTTCCGCATCCGCATCCGTCATTTATCTCTTATTTGATTTCGAGGCGTTCGCCGCGCCGGGTGCGGTGCCGCTCCTTTGCATTTGGCGTGCCTACGTGCACCCACAGGGACTTGCTCATCATCCATGTATCATATATTGGGACTCCTCGCATTATCATCGCTTCATGTTACGGGTTCCTTTACACTCTTTTGGGCTTGTTGGTCCGACCTGGATACCCGTACGGCACACATACGTTGTACTGCATAATACTGTACTTTACCCACACTCAAATGCAACTCGGCGCACGATATTCGGGCCCCTTGTTCTGCGCGGATTCTCTTGTTTCTTCGTCCTCTTAGATACTCGCGGCACGCACAGATAATACACGGCCGTTGCGACTGATAGTCTATATCTCAGCATCTCGACGAAACAGGGAAAGCTTGTCCGCTAAAATGAAAACCATCCAGAACATCCATTGTCCAGAGAAACATGTGGAGCACCACTACATCATAGCGTGTCGTGCCGGGGAGAAGAATGGTATCCTGTTTCGTTCCGCATGCCCCGCGTGAGCATGAGCAGCAGGTTCTCAATACGGGCTTGGCGATCCTGCACAGCGTCTCGTTGATTCAGCGCTCTCCATACGCACCCCAGTTTCCACTCACCTGCAGCTCTTTCATCTCCTCCTTGAGCCGGCTCACGGGCAAATTCTTCACGTCGTCCAACAACGCCTCAACTTTTCTGATCCCAGCGTCCATGCTCGTCGCGGCCGCCGACATTTTCTCTAGCTGACCCTCAGAGGCGTTGCCACGGCTCGCATAGAGTTTGCTCAGGGGGCTCCGGGGGCCGACGGTCGGGATCTCGCCTGAACTCTGCGCAAGCGCAGCGGGTAGAGTGATCTTTCTGGGCCGCGGCGACACGCTGGGCGAGACTCCTTCTCTGCGGCTCCTGCTTCTGCTCATCGGCGCTGAGCGAGGAAGGCTGACATAACGTCTCTGTCGTGGGGTCTGCGGGTCACCTCTGTCCGCGCTGGCGCCTGAAGTGGAAGCATGAGGAGGAGATTGAGGGTACAAGCTGTCCCGCGAAGGGAAGACGAGCAGGCCGCGGGAAATCTCGTCGTCAGAATCTGGGAAGAGTTCGGGTTCGTGTAGGAGCTCGACGTCGAATATAGCGTCGTAGATGTCTGTGCTGCTCGATCCTAGTAGATCGAGGATGGGTATATTCTTGACTTGGCGCGTGAATCGTGCATAGAGATTGTGTGCAGCTTCAGTGCCGTCTTCTCGCCACTTTCTTCCTTGAGCGAGGTATCGTTCGTAAACACCAATGACTATCAGCGTTGGGAAAGACTAGAGGCCATCGCGTCAGTGGACTGATGGATTTCTGTGGCTATAACAACTTACAGTGAGCTTGATTAGGAAAACATTTGTCGAATGCAGAGCGCGTGCTGATAGCACCCAACTCAATGGCCATAAGATCAGGAATGCAAGGAGGTTAAAGGGGGGCTGATAGCTGAATAGGGCATCAGATTTCACGCTGGGTTCGAAATCAGAATTGTTCAGAGACAATAGCGCACGCAGTATATCCCCTTACCCTTCAATTGTGGAGATAGAGTACTGGAACAAATACTGAAGAGAAAAACCAGACGCATGAGTGACTTGTAGGAACTCAATTTGTTTAAAATTACTTCTTGCTTGGCATTCTGTGGAACTTTTCAGAATTTAGCGCAGAGGATGTTTTGACGACTCACAGAATCAATCTGCGCAAAAGTATTGGACAATATCGAGATGAGGACTGGGAAGAACATTAGAAGCAACCGGCGCAGGAGAGAAGTATGTACTTGTCAATAAAAGGGTATTTGAAAGCGCAGCGAAGGTGGTCATAAGAATTGGACCGAAGATCGGGTGAAAACTCTCTGCCTGGCCGAAGCTCAGGTAAGTGTTACCGAACCAAATCTGAACCATGAGCCATGCAATTGCTTTAAAACTCCATTTCTCCGAAGCTGAAGAAAGTCGTGTGAGAATCATCATCCAAATGTCACTGAGTTATATCATACCTAGACTATGAAGAGTAAAGAGAAGACCCGAGAAACAGATCGCGGCTATCCCAATGAAGAAAACGAAGTCTGCTATCATGGCCCGCAATGCTCTATTTAAACCTCTTCAGAAATGGAAAGAACACTTTTTCTGAGACCTACAATACAACAACGTTGTTGGAAACCGCAAAGAACGCCAACCTGTCAGTCAACACATACGTTGACCATCAATCATTGAGACAGTTGAAGAAATTATACCTAGGAAAAAGTATGCAAGCTCCACATGCAAGGATGTCGAAACCCATTTCGGATGCATTCACTATTATCTCGTAGACTCATGGCGAAATTAGACTGTAACAGAGTCTTACCGTCATGATGAGCAAGCCCCTTGATTCGGAAACCTAGGTAGGCAAAGAAGATAATCACGAACGATGTGTCAAAAACATTCCACATCTATAGGTTTGATCTAAGTCGCGTCCGACTCTTGAGCATACGCGCGAGGTCTCACATTAGCAATGTAAACTGAGAAGGATTAGGATTGAATGAGGTTCATCGCAGTCATAGACGTGTACTCACTACTCCACCCGTGTTCTTTAGAAGCCGTATATTCCTCCAAGGTAAATGCTGCTGCGAAGACTACAAAGACAATCTCGAACACGTTCATTTGTTTGACGTCTCGGTCTAACGCCGTAGGTCTAAGACACCATCTATAGTCACGAAGCAAATGGAACGTACTTGAGAGGCATAACAGAAATATGGTCAATAAAAGCGCGAAGTTGAGGAACTCCATGATAGCACCATATCTTGGTACCCTCAATCTATAATGGTCCAGGAATGGCGCGTTCCGAGAATCGTATATTTCAATTGCACGAGGCTTATAGTTGTCGGCCAAGACTGAGTGATTCGACGCCATGGAGAAGACGACACGTCCAGCATATATATCGTTGACAACTGTTTGTACGACGGGCGCAGACAGAAATGCTTTAGATTCGGTGGCAATGGCCATCTGGCGGCTTACGTCAAGCAAAGAGTATCGTAGCTGAAGAATGACGGACCTCGAGGGCATTTTGAGGATCGTACCGATCATCGTTACCAATTGTCTCCCTGACTTCATCAACAACTTCAGGAGGAGCGCCTGCGAGGGGGCTCCAGCTTGCGGTCAGAACAGCTGCGAGACGGATGCGACTAGAAGCAAATGTGCCCAGAAGCTTCATTGCCAGAATCTCACAAAGGGCGGCTCTCGAGAGCATCACTCCAGAATACGCAACATTCTCTTCTGCTTCTGACAAAAAGTGTGAACGCACGACGAAGCACGCGTAGACAACCGCCATGTTGTCGAGCTTGGCATATTTAAAGACTAAGGGTCTTACAATCGCAAAATTGATGTCAGAAGCTGTGAGCTGGCTACGCCCAGGACGTCAATATTGTCAGTGCCTCGATGGTAGAACTTAGGAAAGCATGCACGTACTCCCAGCTCAACGCAGTGTCTGAAAGCAATGGCATTTAGGTGATCAGTTCAGCGTCATATAGCATCAACATACCAATATCTTTCTAACAGGTTCGGCTCAGCTCTACCGACCCAAGACCGCGCAGCCATCCCAGCTGACAGTGATTCTGCTCACCTCGACATCCTTCTTAATGCTCGGAATCAGTGGAAAAACCTTGACAGAAGCGAGAAACTCTGGAGTAGGAGAAAGCAAGCCACGAGAGCTTTCTTCATCCATTTCAAGGGCAAGAGATGGCGTGGTATTATAGTGTGCAGCGCGAACAGACCTGCCGCAATGTGGTCGAGGGAAGGCCGCAGTGACGTCAACGTTCAACGTAACACGCGCCAGCGCGTAGCCGCCGAGCGTTCGAATCCCGATTGTCGCGCAAGTTTTCTTGGATCCAACTTGAAGTGCAGGTATTTCCTTTCCCTTTGCTTTCCCAGAACACGGCCATGTACCTACGAAATACGGAACGCTATCGAGGCGATGATTTTTAAGCAAGAGAATTTATGGTTGAGGTCTTTGAAGCTTCTTCAACTTGAGTAATCAAGCCACGCCCGCCATGCAGACACCAATAATGCGCCAGACCTTGAGAACATCGTGAACACGACCGACCTCATTATTAATGACGGTGAGAAGCACACCTCTATGATTACGTGCCGTCGTTCGCTCATGGCGATGTCTTCGCTCCTCTCATCAAGGATTCCTTTGCCTCAGCACCCGGAGGTAAGGTTGAATAACCAGCAGTCACAGAATTTATCATCCTTACTTGTTCATAAAACTGGCGCGGCGGTTGGCGGATGCCCTTTCCAATATCATGCGTCAGTTTGGGGGGGTGGACGACAGTAAGTATCTCGACAATATTCTTATGTGTATTGACATCATCCATGTATATAGCCGTCGAAGATGCCAACCTTGCCCGCCTCATGCCATGAGATCCTTCTGCACCTCCGCATCCGAACTCCAGTCGCCTTGCTCGCTTCCGGCTGGGAATTCGGCCATCGTCTATAGGTGCAACCCCGCTCGCCAAAGTCATTCACCAGGCACGCTGCGGGATCACCGATGAGGCCATTTGTTCTCCGGGAAACTCTCCCATATCTTCTGGATCGTCCCGTTTCGCATTATCTGCAGCGGGTGGATTCAAAAATCGCGACCCCGTTGTTCATTTTTATCTGCTCGACAGTGAAAATCCGCTAGGATGCGGAGCCTCCCTCGATCCGGGGCTGGGCGGCATAGCACACTCGATAGAAATGGACGAAGAGCGGAAGTTAATGTTAGTCGGAGACGACGACCGAGTCAAATCTTTTTCTTGGGAATCTGTCACACCCGACGGTTCCCGCTTGGGGAATCCAAAGCCTGTTCACACATTGAAGGCGTCCAGTCATCGCGGTCCGATCGCCATACTCCCCAATGGGCGCATTCTCCGTGCAGGTCCTGGGTCTGCTCTTATGTGGGTCATCGACGATCTCGAGATACATGGTCCCAACCGTGCTCGTATCGGCCGAGGAAAGTATTCTACGCGGGACAGCTGGCGCGACAACGACGACGATTCCATAGAACTATCGAATGGAAGTCAGCCACATGGAACTGTCTCGTTCTCTGAGACCACGCTACGGCCTTCCATGTGGCGTCTCCATCGCCCAAGCGGTGGCATGTTATTCGCTGAGTGGAATTTAAGCATCAAGAAGTACTCGTGTGGTCTGCTGGATCTGGAGCACGGTGGGCGGATTGCCACTCGCTTCATTGGATTTGGTGGCTTTATATCAGACATGTCTATCAGCGACGCAAATCTGAACCTGTTTGCTACTTCCTGTAGTGATGGATACGCCAGATTGTTTGATGTGCGACATCCGCTGCCGGCTGTCACTCTCAATGCTGGGAGCCAGGCTGACATCTATTCGGCGGCGTACCCAGATGGTATACCTAGTATGTTCCTCTTCTATAGCCTTAAATATGAAGTTGTCAACATTCTGTCGTGACAGCTGTGTTCACCGGAGGACATAAAATCCAGCAGATAAGGATGTGGGATATCAGAGCAGGCGCAATTGTTTACGAACTAGCGACGGGGAACAATGAGGTTACCTCGTTGGCTTGGGATCCCAAACACGCATCTCTGTATGCTTCTATGGAATGCCCGGGCATCGACCGCATCGGGTACCATCATGATTGTCGAGTCGCGAGAGTACCGAAATGGGGGGTACTTCATCCTCAACCTGAGAGCCCCACGAGCAATAATCCAACCCGGAACAAGAACGATGACGACAGCGACTCGGAGCAGGACGAAGACGAGGATGAAGACGAGGACGAACTAGGACGTTGCTGGCCCGACCGATCGTACCATGACGAAAACTACTTTAGGTACTGCTTCGACGCCGGAGATCATAGGCTTTGTGGGCATTCATATGTTCGTTCGAGAGCCTCGGACACTGATAATGTCTTGTAGACCGCTTTGCTTTCAAACCGAATGCAGATCCCCTCAAATTGCCTGAGTACGGACAAGCCACCTTAGACCAGGGATACTGGTAGAGAATCCGCTCATGAACGCATGACAACTGGATCGGATGTTACAAAGATGCTATCCGACAAATGCAGTGGTTTTCGTTGTGTAGAAATGTACAAGTCGGTGCAAAAATGTGTTTTTACCAATGAAAAACTCACAATTTCTCACTTGCAAGAGTCGGATCCGGTTTGAGAATTAGCATTCATGCTATAAAGTGTGACAGCTCGCGAGTCGAACGATGGTCGGGATAACTCTAGTCTCCGTCTATAGGTCGTCTGATACTACCCACCAGGCTCTATTGATGCGTAGAATTATGAACTACACTACAATACAAGAAAATAATAAAACTCAGAGCTCGAACTGTCCCTTAAGTCTCATTTCTGCGTGTCCTCCAGCTATATACCTTTAACTCCGAGATGATGTATCGACACGTCCTGATTTCCATTGTTCCAACCAATCAAGGAGTTCTCTGGCCATCTTACGGCCTTCCTCCTTGCGCTTCCCAGTCTCACCTTCGCGCCTCTTCTTCGCCTTGGTGTCCCGGCCTTTGAGCCAGGCCTCCTCCACAGCGTTTGCCCAATCGCCCATCTCGTACAAAACACGAGCGAGCTCAACGCCTACGCCTTGATTGTCTAGGAGTAGACGAAGACCATGTTCTTCTATGAACAACGGACGGGAAACTGCAAATATAACTGTACGTCAACACGTCTTTGTGTGTACCTATTGAACGCACCGTAGACGAAAGGAGTGCAAGAATCCACACATTCGGAAACTGTTCCATATCCCTTCATTAGCCTAGTCAGTCAAGATATCTATACACAAGATATTATAGAGAACGCACGAGTTTGCCGAGAAGGACATCTGCGACCGCCGTCAGATCGGGCATGTAGACATCCCGCGGGGCAACGTAGAAGTTATCAGGGAGCTCCTCTCCATTCTCCCTCCCCCATTCCTTCGACACACCGCACACCACGGCTATCCAGGATTCGTCGGGTAGCAGGCGCGGTGCGGCCTCTTCAGGTATGCCATTTTCAATATGAACCTCGTCCATAGAAAATGGGTCATCATCCCACCCACTCTTGCGTTCAATGCCATTACGTAGGGGCGAAGGAGGAACAAAATTGAACGCAGGAATGTTCCCCGTAGGAGGGGTTCTCGCAGACCTATGAGTCATTGGGGAATTCGGCAGGGACATCGGCGGCGCGCCTGGAATAGTCAATTGCGAGCCTGCACGATTCCGAGTTAGCAGAGGACGTGGAGGACGACTTGGAGACGTATTTTGCTTGCGATCAGAAAGTGAGGAAGAGCGCAAGGCGGCGGTCAATGTTTCAGGGTCTAGAGGACGTTCCCTGAGGAGTTCGTGTGACTTTTTGCGAGATATCTCGCTTGCGGAACCCGTTAGAGTCTTAGGCGCAGTTGAGGAAGGAACTGGCGTGACCGAAGTCGATGGAGAGCGGCTTTTGGGCCTGTAGAAGATTTGCCCGCCGAATGAGACGATCAGAATCTTCGTATGAACCGGATCGTGCAGATGGGGAGGAACGCCGATGGTACTCAGGAGCCTGCGTCTTCCCTCTGAGGTATATGCGGATGGATTTGGGGAACGGACAAGGAGAGGAGCTTGGCGCACTTCACGAGGGATAGGTTTTCGACCATGAGGAGAGGGAAACGATATGCTCGGATGAATGGCATACTCGCAAGGAGTGCCATTAAGGTGCCCTACTACCTCATCTGTAAACGTTCGCAGCATGTAGTCGATCCAGGCAGGGGACGGAAGAGAAGGAGATACAGTGAATGAGGGTATTGGGATGGCACCAGGCAAGCGGAGTAAAAGGTCTGCACAACGATACCCGCGTGAAATCTCTTCGACCAAAGGTGCCATGGTTTCTATGGGTATGGGGATATCAGACAATCGTTCTATGTCTGGTTGAGTTTGCAGGGTATACGGATCGAGATTTGATGGGCATGTTACAGAATCAATGAGAGACGTAGAGAGATAGCTATATACCGAGTCGAATGAAAAGTTGGTGATGAGTACCGAAGGAAGTCCAGCTTGATTAGCAGCGAGGCTGAGCGCAATTAACATTACAGCCTCAAGCAGATGATGTTGGAGACATACCAACCAAGGAAAGCGGCATCGCTTAGAATACAGTCCGCTCCCAGTTCCCTGAGCCACTGACTTTCCTCACATAGCTTCCTGTCTTTCTTACGGAGGAAGGATTTCAGTACCTCCACACTCTTCTGACGATCAACGCAGTACCTATAGAAACGGTGAGAATATTGATTATATTGTTGGATTCATCGTGACTTACGCTAATGGTTGTACAATCACCGGGTCTATATCGGCATATCGATACAAAGCTGCAGTAGTTTTAGCGCATATAATGAGCGATAAAGAAGAAGAAGAACCTCCTAGGGCTACACTGTCTGCGAATACTTGTATTGGCGCAGAAGACACGATGTGTATAACAGGCGGAGGTTCCAAGCTTAACAAATGACACACGAAAGCAGATACACGTGTCGCATGGCCATAACCTGGTGAATAATTGGAGCATGAATAGATGCACCTCCACAAATGGCACCCACCATGTCCGGAACAATAATACACAAAGGTATAGGGTCCAGAACGCATCGTGAACATAACAGATAATACCAGAAATCGACGACCGGGTACCGATTCATTAATTCGCGTCCATCGAAAACTTGATTCTTGCGGTATGTAGGTGATCTTATAAGTACTCGTTTCAAATCTATTAAATAGAGATGCAAAAGTGTAAGATTGGATCGAGGTTGCAATGTGAATGAGGTAGTCAACTGGATGAACAGGTGCCGTAGCGCCCACGAGCTCGCGGACATGAATTTGGATCGGCTTTGGATCTGGTCGCCTCCGTGCGCCACGGTGACCGTGACGACGGCTCTGCTGGACTTTCTTCAGCCCAACATCGCTCGTCCATTTTTGAGAGTTTTAGTGGCTTGAAGCACTTGTTGTCTTGGAGTCCAGGACGGCATTCGCTTTCCTAGTGCCAAATGTTCATGTTTACGCGGTAACATGAGTGATCTACTGCTTGCTCTTCTCCTCGTTACATCCTCTGCGAATGGATCCAATCTTGTGTATCGCTGGCCCCCCTTTCCTGAATTGTCGTCGAGGCTTGTTCGTCCTTTGCCACACCACGACACCACTTGTGCGCAGGGCGACAACCCATGGAGAGCGGCAATAGCCTCAGATCGACCAGTCGAAGAGTCCAAGGTGTGTCCCGACGGTTTACCTCGCGTCGAAGACGAAAGCTACCTCTGGAAGAGGCCGAACATATTCCGCCGCAGGTCTCTGTCTGGTGCACGTTCTCGCTCGCACCCCTCTTCGCGGACAAGCTCACCTTCCAAAGATGCTGACGAATCTTACGTTGGGGGCGCGAATACGGGCTCGCCCGTTGACGATGGGTATGATTCCGTTCTTGGATACCCTGCGGAATTCCTTGCTGGGATGTTATGTCCCCAAAGCTCCATGTGTCATCAGCGGTTTGGGTTTGTCGTCGATGACCTCGTTTTTCTCGGGCATCCCGTCTGTGCCGAGCCGGATGGCACATGGCGCTTCAAACCGGAGAAGAACAAACTAGCACCGAGGGGAAGAGTATCAAGGAAAGGCGAGACCCCACAGTCGGTGGAAAAGCCGCTTACCCCCGACAGGGCTGAGAAACATCGACGCGCCCCACCGGATTCTAAATGGCTTACAACATTCCACTTCGTTGTTGTCTTGGATCGTCCCGACCCATCGTCCTCCTCACCTGCTAGTGTCTGGAAATATATGGACACCATCTACGAACGCCTCGTGTTTGCTATCACGGCTGTACTGTTCCAGGAACAAATTCTACACAACTATGTTGAAACGGAATGCGATAAACTCGGTTCTTTAAAAGACGACTACACGAGTAAAGGTCTGTGACCCTACTGGTTTTTCAACGAGCGTTATTGAGTACAATTGTAGGCATGCCTTTCTCGGAGTATATGTCAGAAGCTCTCAATGTATCGTCGCTTGCCCCTGCAATGAAAACGCTTTACGATTCCATCAAAGCTAGTTCGATCGCCAGAATTACCATACATGATCTTCCCCTCGAGCTCCACCTTCCTCCTAGCTTAGAGTCTATGTTGCGTGCTGAGGAAGACGATAATGCGGACATGGCAGATCGGGAAGACGAAAATGATTTAACTAGCGTCTGGGACGACACATGGGGATCTAGAGGCTTCATGGCGGTTGCTCCATGGAAAAGCCTATTGCTTCTTGATGACGAAGATGAACAGGGCTATGAGCTTTACATGAGATTACGAGGGCCACAACTTATGCCTGAGGACAGAGAGCTCGCCGAACAGCTGATGAAATTCTTAGATTTGGCGTCCATATCGCTTTCGTTCGTTTTTTTGCCAATTCTGCGTTCGGAACAATTAACAACTCTGGACTAGACTCGCTGACATGGCAACATTACTCGATTGGGATCTGGAGTCTCAGGTGTATCCTACTGTCCGGTGGCTAGTTCACCATAGACGAGCTAAAGTAGTCGACTTCGTCCATCCAGGTTTGAAGACTGTTTTCTCAATTCCGCAGAAGTTTAGTGCTCCGTATGTAATTCGATGGCTCTACGGGTGCACTGCTGACATGACACAGGTTATCTGAACTTTCTGCAGAATTTGACCGCGTGTTCGCCAGTAGCGGTGTCCCTCCCCTTTCAAAGCTGGTCTCTGTAGTTTCCATGGCATCCCAACAACAAAGTGCAAATCATTTCTTCGCGACAGTGGTAAAATCCAAGGATCTCATACCGCTGTATGAAGATGTGGTCATTTGGATGCTGAAAAGAGATCTACTTATCACGCTACACCTACGCATACGTATCGTGGCCACAGAGGAGCTCAAAGACCGAGTGAGGATGAAATTTGAAATGGCACGAGCTAAGAAGGAACGCATTCAAGCCCAGGCCAGAAACCGGGAGCACGAGAAGGAGTCGAGTTCCCAAGATACTCCGCGACAGGGGGCTGAGATAAAAGAATTCGCGCCTGGGACAAGCCCTGCCATGAACTGGTTCTCGCTATCGCCCCATAGTGCTCGCAAGCATGCTCGACAATTTACGGAGGATGTTCAGAGCCAATCCAGTTTGCAGACGCAGCCGGATGCTGTTGAAAAGGTTCAAGACGATGAGTTCGAGGACGGGTTCGGGTCTTCGGGTGCCGAAGAAGAAGATTGGTACCGCGGTGACGATAACAACCCGTATTCGTCGATGGTCAGCGACCCTGCGCGCGCGAGTCGACTTGAGCGACTATGGCTCGCTGCCATGTCAGATGGAAAAGATGCCTATATAGTGAAGCGTTTCGAACAGTAAGTCAATGACGAACTCGGGACCGAATTGCGTTTTCACATTCCTCCATAGAATCAATCAATACTTCGACGGAAAATGTACCGATGATGAGATCCTCTTTAGGGCTGAAATATCTAGAAAGCAGTTGCGAGAAGTGTTACATCATTACGACGAATATGTAAGCTGACAATTACGCTGTCTTTCTTCACACTCACGTAAAATTCGTGTGCAGGTGCAGACGTTCCTTCACCCATCTTGACTTCGTCATACGCCGGCAGCGGCAACTTTTCATTGGGCTTCTGTCTCACAATTCTGCGGTACAAACACCTTCAAATCTGTCGTATTCTAATCCATCACATCGTCATGCTTCCACCCGAGCAATCGTTCCGCTTTCGAACAGTCGAAGAACGTCTTTCGACCATCCAAGTTGTACCCCTCCCTAATTGGAACATCTGCCCAAAATTGTTCCTTCAACACCATTGTGTCTTCGTCATGCGCAGTGACCGGCGCTGTGATGAAGAACCTCTCGTGTCCAGACCACTGCTCGTTCTCACCAGACACGGCCAGCACGAATGCTTCTGCCCCGCAGTCCTCCTGAACATATCCCCACAGGTCATTCCTGCGTCTTGCTGGGTCGCCGCGCTTGGCAGAGGTTCGTGTGGGACAGGACCAATGCAGGCGGAGGCTCGCGATGCGCATGGATGGATAGCGTCTGACGATCGTATCTGCTTGAAGCTCCGCGATCCTGAAATTCAGGCACAGATTACTATGAGTCGGTACGAGAAGAAGTAACCCTTTACACTTTCGACAGCCCGTATGGTTCGTCTGGCTCGCAAGGGTGGCTCTCGTCGATGGGAAAGTAATCTATCGCGGGTTTTACGCTGTAAACGAGTTTGATGACGTTGACCGATGACGCCTGAGCAACCCGGTTTATTCCCAGCTGATAACAGTTGATTTCTTTCAAGCATCTGCGACTGAAACCAAGCTCGCTTCTCTCACCTCTGCGCATGCCCGCAAGACATTCCATGTGATTACGACATTGCTGCAGGGTCATTATTCAGTTCCTATTTCTCAGTTCCGCGCACGAAGGAAGGAGACATGAACCTATTATGGGTGGCTGCCTTGTAGTCGCCGGGGTTGGATAAGGCCGCCAGCTGCACGACCGCATCGCAGCTCTGAAGTGCCTCCAAGGTGTCTTCATAGTTCCGCAAGTCAACCTGAACAAAGGTGAACGCAGGATCCACGGCGAATTCTAGATCTTCTTTCAAGATGTTATCGATGCCCAAAACGGCGTGACCTTGCCTCAGAGCGGCAAGGACGACGCGTTGGCCGACGCGACCGGTGCATCCAGTCACTGCGAGCTTCATTACTGGGTAGGCGTGGGCGGGATGGGCTCGTGCAAGATATATATTGTCTTGGCCCAACCTCCGAAGAAGTTCGGCTACATAACACGATGAGATATCGTCTCGGAGAAACTACTAGCAAGCATGATATCATGAGATCACCTTCCGGAGCCCGGAGATACAGAGAAGGCAGTCAGCAGACCAACATGTTGCCAAGAGGATCAACATATTCGGCACCGTACAGGGCGCGGCGAGCCGGGTTTGTTTTGATTTGATAGATTCTGGTCGAGCAGCACATTCAAGTAGTACGCATTATCATACAACGAACATCGAACTTCAGTGTATTCATCTTCTACGTTTGAGAATAAATGATATGTCATGAGGATGCTTCATAACTCACCAGTAATAATCATCTTCGAACACCACTGTGCCCTGCCCATACTCCGGCAGCTTACTTGGATCCGCATCTGGTTTGAACGCGTAGCGGTCTACACACGTGTCAATTAATACTTTGAAACGAGCGATCAACTGCGTAGGCACAGATCTTATGCTCGCCAGCGTCGAAACAATACCCGAGAAAACTTTCATCATGATACGCACCCCCCGGCCAACCCCGTTCCTCTTCGTCGCTATCATACCAAAACTCGGGCTCGTCACCTTCGTCCTCTTCTTCTACAATCAGTCCATATCTGGTGCACATGTCGTTCCCGCTGCTATCATATTCCGCCCACCCAGGTATACGCGCGGTACGGTAATCGTGATGATCGCTATTGCGGTCAATGTTTGGGCACTCCGTAGCAGCATAGAGAAGAACTCCTGGAGTCCCACGCCATTGAGACGACTTCGTTATTTCCTGCGGCTAATTCATAGACGACCGCTTGCGCGCGAATGTCCCACATCTTGATCTGCTGGGACGACCATCCTCCAGTGTACGGCTTTCAAAAAGTCTGTTAATAATATCGAAGGTGAAGGACAGAATTTGACGCACTAGGTATTCCGCCTAGGTGGACGAAAACCACAGCCGGGCAAAAATCGGTTTGCTTGCTCGAATCAAGAGTAAGCACAGGTAACGGGTGTCGAACGTCGAACAGCCTCGCATATCCATCGCTGCAAGCGGTGACGAAGGTGTCCGGATCATGATCGCTCGTGGTGAACATTTGCACGTCTCCGCCATTTCCGAGATAGCGAGCGGCGATCTTCCCGCCGTGCTCCAGGTCTAGCACTCCGCATGTGTAGTTGGTGCTGTTCATTGCACCTCCACTGAACCACATTCTTCCACTTGCCTGGTAAAGCTGCTATACGCCGGGCTTGAGTGTCTTAACCGCGAAGAATATTTTCTCGTGCGCTCGGCTTCCGGAGGACAACTCGATAGCATCGCCATCATCGTTGTCGCGCAGACAGTCATCGGCGTAATCTTCTCCTTCGCCAATTATTACATAGTTGGGTCCATGGGTCTCGAGGTCGTTTATGATCCACATGAGTGCAGATCCTTTGCCTGCACGCACTATGCGCCCATTAGAAAGCACTGAGATCGGTCCGTGATGACTAGACGTTTGCAGCGTGTGAACACCAGGAAGATCGTCCAGTGGGTGAACATCAGATGGATTCTGCGGCCATGCAAACGACTTGACTCTGTCTTTGTCTCCGACAAAAATCAGCTTCCTATCTTCGTCCAGCGCCAAGGCATTAGCGATGCCTCCCAATCCAGGATCAAAAGAGCCTCCGCCCTCAAGGGGATTATCGGTATTCAGTAGGTAATAATGGATAACAGGGTCGCGGTTCTTCCACCCTCCGGCACCGCATAGAGCCAGGCAAGACGATCGAGAAGATATCTGAATGAGATTTAGAGCGCAGATACGATCGTCTGTGATCTCGCATCGTGCCTGATGGATGGCGTTGGCAAGGGGCGTAGCATTCGTCGTCGAGGGAGCAGTCCCGAGACGAAACCGAGACAGGCGTGTGGTGTTTATGTGGGGACAGCTGGTACGATCTCATGCGCCGGGTCCACGATTTGATTCATCGACTCCTACTTGGGTACTTCATATATATATATTCATGAGGAACAGCCAGAGCTCACCAGGGAAGAATCGCTGGAAAAGGGGACCAAGGGCATTAATTATTTCCTGGTCTGTACATAACTCACTTGTGACCTGAAGAAAATGGCGCAAAATTGCTCATCAATGGACATTGCCAGCGAATCTTTGACGACTGGAGCTGACTCATCGGCGTGTGCAAAAGAAGGGAGAAAGTCGTAGTAACCAGCTGGGCTATTGTAGGCCAGGTTAATCCCTTTGTCCAGTATTTTCTGAGCCTTGTCAACGATGTTCGTTAGGTCAGGTACATTGTTAGCATCCGCCTCGCGAGCAACGGCGCACACTTTGCGCAAGATTTGAACCAGGGACTTGTCGTCACCGTGACCTCCATTGCGGGCCTGCGAAGGTATGACGGTCAAACGCTGTCGGAGGGCGTCCAGTTGACTGAGTAAGCCTGGCATATTTATGACGCGCAGTGGTCAAGAGAAGGGATGCGACCTTGAGGTCGAGGCTAGGCTAAGACCTGTTTTGAAATGCTTCTTAATCTAATGAGACTATATCGAGGGCGTCGCGCCAACTCAAGCTTGTTCAGAATCAGACGAGGATGAAAATTACGGACCGCTACGGTATGACTCAAGCCGAGATTGTAGTTTGCCATTCGGCGTATGGCTTGATCTTTTCAAACACGTCTCTGGCATCATGCTGATCATTGATAAAACGCGAGACGATATGCACGGGCGATTCTCTCGGGATGAGAGAACCTGCATTCACAATACTTTGTTCATTTTTGCGTTCGGAGAGTGATTGCGAATTCAGCCTTCGAAAGAACTTGGACCGTCAATGCCATGCATGGAGCGTTACGGTCACGTGGGACTTGAATCTGCGATAGCGGTGTGTGCACGTGGCCACATAAGTACGATCACAATCCGAGATGCGGTACTGCCGCAAGAACTTAGAGTTAGCTTAGACTCTGGAGGCCATGAGTCTCACTGTCACCGGTTTTCACTGTGAACGCCTGCCCATGGCAGTGATTCAGGCCCCTGAAACTCAGTATGTACAAGTGTACACCATCATTCTCTCTTATATAGATACTTGTCGAATCTTGTGCGTTTGTACAAATCTCATGATCGCAGCAGCTGCGTAGCGCAATTCCATGAGTGCAAAAACCTCTTCGAAATAAAGGCTAATCTGTCATGTCTTCGTTGAGCTTTTTTGCCTCCGAACGGTCGTGTCTTAGGCGGGAAAATAATGAATTTCTGGATTGGGACGGCTAACTTGCATCCATCCTCAGGCTGCGTTTCTGATAGAAACAGGTATGCAATCCATTTTCTGGTCGTTATCGATTGTACCTTAACTAGCGCATGCCATTTGAACATTGCTAGTGCCTTCGTGTTGGTGACACATCAAGCCCGAACTTCCATTATTGTGGTATGTGATGAAGTGAAAATTTCTTTCAGTACACCATTGCACAAGTCGATTGAAGTTTTGAATGTTCCGTCAAGGTCGGGTGCTCTTTGACGTGGTCAACGATATATCGCTCACTCGTCTCACAGGTACCTGGAGCTGGTTAACACTCAAAAGGAGGCGAGGGCAGCTGTGTTGCCACTCAGCGCTGCAACGAAATGCACAGGCCTTAAATTTATCCTATTGAACAACATTCCGGCTTTGAGTGTTTACGCCACGAGGTAAGAAATGTCCTGTTACTACTTCAGATCAAGGTGAAGTTATTCTTAGCCCCCATTCGTAGTACGATCAGACTTGAACACAGCAGGGGAAGCTAGCGCCACAGAGAATGAAGCCATAGACATGATTGGACTAAATTATTACAAAATTATTTTCCCTATCGCGTTCCAACGCCAGTACGATTATAAAAGTGTGTATCTCTTTGCAAGACTTCCCCGTCCTTATCCACTTCGACAAGCAAATTCTCGCTTCCACGCTACCATGGCCACCACTCCCAACCAGTTCATTCTCCCAGACTTCTTATCTATCATGCCCTTTAAATCGTCCTTCAATCCTCACTTTGAAGAGGTTGCAGCCGAATCCAGTGTCTGGATCAACAGCTTTAAAGTCCTACCAGACCGGAAACGTACCTTTTTTCTTCAAAAAAGCGGCGAGCTCCTTTGCGCATACGTCTACTGTTATGCGACCTACGAGCGACTCCGTACGGCCTGTGACTTCATCAACATTCTGTTCATCTTCGATGAACTCAGTGATGATCAGAATGGAAAGGATGCTTATTCCGCTGGCCGCACTTTTCTTAGTGCTCTACGTGACCCTAGCTGGGACGATGGCTCAATCTTGGCCAAAATAGTCAAAAGGTATGTTTGTATTGGTCCTTTATCGACCCTGTTACGATAACTGTATTCACAGCTTCCGATCTCGCCTGTTTGAAGTTGATGTGCCTGCTTGTCATCGCCGATTCATTCAGCATTGCGAAGATTACGTCAACGCCGTCGCTGTCGAGGCGGAGCTGAGGGAGCGGAAGGAAGTCCTCAGTCTCGATGCATACATACTGTCGAGGCGCAACAATAGTGGCACTAAGCCCTGTCTTGATCTCTTCGGGTATGTCCTTGGCGTAGACATTCCGGATGAAGTCTACGAACATCCGGTGTTGATGCGCATGTATCTCGCGGCAGCCGACATGGTCAGCTTGTCGAATGTGAGCATTCAGAGCCATAGTAGTTACTGACATACCCTGACGGTCTATTTTCAGGATCTATACTCATATAACATGGAGCAGGCCATGGACCATCCGGAACACAATCTCGTGACGGTGCTCATGAATGAGAAGTGCTGCGATCTCCAGACCGCCGCAGACTATGTCGGCGTCCACTTCAAGTTATTGGTAGATGGCTTTTTGGCGGACAAAGCCCGACTGCCCTCGTGGGGATCCGAACTGGACACTGTTGTCGCGAACTTTGTGATGGCTATGGAGAAATGGGTTGCTGGAAATTGCGACTGGAGTTTCGAGACGCAACGATACTTCGGTCCTGCACGCCATGAGGTGAAGCAGACTCGTGTCGTCAAATTGTATTCCAAGAGCACGGAGGCAAAATAGGTTAGTTTTACTCTACCTCCCTAACGTCGATCTCATAATTACGCAGGTGGAAATCGTCAGTCAGCTATCCAAGTTGTGCTTTCCATCAGACTATGATCCTGACTAACGTACTCGCCTTTACGTGGAGTACTATAGATTATTTATTTGATTATGAGACTCATCACTTAATATGATTTGGAAGATGAGCATCATTGCCCACAAGGAGGGTAGTTTACAGTTGATGGTAACTTGGAAAGCAATACAAAAAGACTACAGCACGCTAAGGACCATAAACATAATTAGAAAAAATATTTGGTCCCCCCTACAAGAACTGGGGCACGGCGTTCATCAAACCTCTACATTAAACATTAATATTATATGAGAACTTGTAGTACGGATAGACCAACCAGTAATCGCCGTTTACATCATGGGCTGCCCATATTCGGGCATCTTACGGGTATTCGCGTCCGCCTTGAACGCAAAACGGATTATAGATGTGTAAGTAATCACCTTCAAATAATATGTGCCCGAATGTACGCGTACAAATCCTATGCTCGCCGGTGTCGAAACAATAACCAAAGAAAATTTCACCGTGGTACACCTTCCTCTTCGTCACTGCGATACATGAATTCCTTCTCACCCGTGTCATATTTATTATCACCCTCAACTTCGTCATCTTCCATCCATTCAAGTCCTGTTGGGTTTGTCGTCCTCAGAGTCGATATTATCTTCAGTGTCATCTCCTGCCCATTTGGGCCATTTAGGTTCACTGTCCTCAATGTCGTGCTTTGCCCATCTGGGTATTCGCGCTCAGCGATTATAGTAATTTCTACCGTTGCGGTCCATGTCCAAATACTCAGTGTACAGCATATAGGGCGATTGGCAGGAATCCCACGTTATCAAGATTACCTCGTCGTTGCCGGTTGCTAATTCGTACACGGCCACCCGCGCACGAACGTCTCACATCTTGATGATCTGCTGGGTCAATTGTCCTCCAGTAGATGAGGTTTTCACGGTAGCATAAGTAATTTCATAGAAGGGCAATGAGAACTTACGCACTGGGTTTCCCTCTGGGGCGTACGAAGACAACAGCTGAACAAAATTCAGATCGTTTCCCCGAGTCAGATGTGATGACAGGCAGTGAGTGTCGAACAGAGACCTCCTCTTGATTCCAACCTCCACTGTCTGAAGGCAACTTGCCAACGGACTGAGCACACGGGAGAGGTATAGACGTGCGGAAACATATTCACTAGCTTTATTCCATTTACTTTCTAGCGGAGTCTTCGCCACAAACGCGACCCACGTGCCCGACGCGACATTAACCCTATTAACCTACGCAACACGCCAACTGCCCGTCGCGGCAAGGCGCGACCTTCACTGACCCTCGTTGTCCCGAAGCCTCCAGCTCTTGTACTCGCAGACTGTCTTTTCGTACATCTTCGAAAATGTCAACTTGGTCGGCTAAACTATCTGCGGTACAACAACGCCTGGATGCATTTGATCCTGACGCGCACATAGAGGAAGACGACGGTGGCGCCCATATCATTTTGCAAATTCTGCAAGACACTTGCGCTATCGTTCGTGATGCAGACACGAACACTGCCGACGATTTGAAGGACATAGTGGAGAAGGCTCGTTACATCATCGAGCGAGGGATCGCAGTATCGTACGGTGAAGCCGATCTCTACGAGTTCATGCCATCTTTTGCGCATGACGATGATGCTGCCCCAGTAGTCTCCGATACGCTGGGAAATATTAGTATGTCGTCATTATGCTGGCACCTGTCCCCGGTTGATGTTCATGTCCAGATCAGGGGATAATGGACGCCATGACGCCCTTTTTCCGAGATTTTCTTCCTAGAATCACCGGGAATTACAGTGTGTCTTCTTTGTTTATCAATATAATACAATCTGCAGAATTTATAACTTTGGTTGTACAGCCAAAATTCCCCCGCTTCCAGGACCAGGCCGATGGGATTGCTCCATACAACCTCACGCCAGCACGACCCGTCTGTCCCGTTTTCGCTCCGGCATCTCCATCTCTACCACAGAAGCGACCCCCCTGGCTAACATCATATACCAGGCCCGCTGCGAGATATACGACGAAGGAACATGTCTACCAAACGACATGGCTCTTTCTCCCAATTCTCTTTGCTTGGCCATCTCCGCCGCAGGAGGATGGAAGAACCGCGATCCGGTCGTGCACTACTTATTAGATCAAGCAGAAGGTGAAAGCATGCTTCCCGCGAAGAGCTTTAAGCCTGGCCTCTCAGAAGTCGCGTACACAATGGCTCTAGACGAAGACAGAAAGCTGATTTTCGTGGCTGATAGCCAGCGGGTCAAGTCCTTCCAGTGGGAGTCTGTGGGACGAACGGAACTTGATGATTCAAAGCTCAAAGGCATGAGTACACTGAACTCTGTCGGTTGCAGAGGCCCTGTCGCTGTTCTGCCCAACGGCCGCCTGGTACGAGCGGGCAAGGGACGTGCACTGGTATGGGAGATCGACAAGTTAGAGACACACGGTGCGGATGGCAATAAGCGCATTGGTGACGGTACTCTCGATGCAGAGGGCAGTTGGCGCGACAACGATGACGGGGACGAGATAGAGCTGTCTATGGGAAGCAAGCCTCACACCACTGTGGAATTCGCCGATCAAAGCCTGTCTCCCGGCACTTGGCACCTTCACAAGCCGAGCGGACACATGCTCTGCGGTGAGAATGGTTTGCGGGACAACAGCTATTCCTGTGTCTTGCTCGATCTTGAGCATGGCGGCAAGACGGTTACGCGCTACCTGGGCCACGGTGGGGACGTAGAATGCTTTTCCACGAGCGATGGCGATCCCAATACATTCGTCACTGCGGGCAGCGACGGGTACGCCAGACTGTTCGACATTCGGCATCCGCTTCCGGTTGTCACGTACGATCCACCGGGTTCGCGAGAGGAATTCTGCCCTAGCATCGTCTTTGTCCACCCCGATGGGATCCCTAGTAAGTATGTCTTGTGATCCCTTTGCGGATGCACTTGCTTAGCGTCGTCGCATCAGCAATCTTCACCGGAGGACAAAACTCGCAAGCAATCAAGATGTGGGACGTGCGTGCTCGTGCTGTGGTGTACGACCTCTCGACGGGGAATAACGCAGTGGTCTCCATGGCCTGGGACTCCAAGCGCTCCAGCCTCTGGGCCGCCACCGAGTGCGGATATATGGACCGCCTCGGCTATACACACGATTACCGCCACGCCAACGTGCCGGCGTGGGCGGAATGGGACGCCCAGCCGACTGAGGAGGACATCCGCATGGAAGAGGCCGCTGCAGCTGAAGCGCACGACGAGGATGACGAAGGGGAAACGGACGACGAATATACCATGCGGGATGATGACGACGACGAGACCGCTTTCAACAAGCTCTTGGCGAAGCTACACCGATCCGAGGATGACGATGACGACGAGGACCGCTGCTGGCCGAAGAAAGCATACCATAGGGAGAACTATTATGGATACTGCTTCGATGCAGGTGATCATAGGCTATGTAGGTTTCCGCGCAGCGTTTGTTCGAAAACCATTGTCTGAAGGGCGTCTTTTGCAGTCCAGTACAAGTTCAAAGCGGACTCCGACCCGAAGCAACTTCCTGTATACGGAGACGCTACCATTCGCCAATCTTTCTACTGAGCCATTCGCTGTTCAGACGAAGACATCATACCCAGACGCTCGGAAAGGATTGTTCTGACAATGGATAAACCAAATGTATAGCAGATACTGTAATGCTGTCATATATACTGTAAATGGATTGGATAAAACACATGTTATGAATGTATGATGCTAGATGCAAATGGAGCAGATCACATCACCCTGATTAAACCAAGAAAATGCCTAGATCATTATCTACACAATCACATCTGAGACCCAATGAAGAGGTCTGCTGGGAGCTCACAGTGCCCCGTTGACGGCGAATCGGCAGGAGCCGGCTCGAACATTAACTGCAAGAGCCAGCATCAGCGTATGGCAAAAGGATATGGACGAGTCACATACGTTAACAGTCTGCAACGTAGTATATATCGCAGCAGCCATGCCAAAGATCATCAGTGCAATATCAGCGATCTTTTCCTTGCGCGTGCGTGCACACGCTTTGTAGTGGAGCATGGCAGGGTATACGTAGCAGAGAGGGACACTGCGCGGCAGCGTTTCAGCGGCGCAAACCTAGAAAGAATCTGACGGTGATACGCACCAAGCAAAGCTGCCTACAAACGACACAAATTTGTCCAAGTCGGCTGCACCGGCCCAGCTAAGTCCGGAGCAGAAAAAGACCACGCAGAAGCGGAAGATATTCTTCTGCCACTTAACGCGCACATTCCCCTTACCGCTGTGCTCGAAGAGACCGTTCTCCATGATGCGCACCGCCGGGAAGAGCTGGAGCGGCACGGATAGCAGGATAGCGAGCGAGTACAGGAGCTGGACAATCTGGGTGAACTTGCTCGTAGCATCGAGGTTGACGATGACGACTGTCTGTACGTCCGCGCCGAAGGTGAGATACGACATTACGCCGCCGCCGCAGAAGAGGACTGTGGGTGTGAAAGAAGCAAAGGGGAAATTTAACATCTAATCACCAACGAGCGATAGAATACGAACCCATCAGGAAGAGCATGACACCAGTCAAGACCTTGGGGAACTTGCGAGGCTCACGCATGGCATCTGTGATAGGGATGACAAGCCCAATGCCTTCGAATGAGAATACAGCCGTCCTATGAAGTTACGTTCAATCATCGCGCTTTCTAGTATGAAGAATAAAACACACCCGATCAACAGCGGCCACTCCTTCGCATTAAACAGTTCAACGTGCGCATGACCCTGCTTCGCCATGATCATTGACTCGCTACCAAAGATGTAGATCAAGCCTGCGAGGATGAAGGCGTCTGCGACAAGCGCAGCAGTACTGAGCTTCGCGAGGTTTCGGATGAGGACAAGCGGGAGGAATATGATCATCTGCAAAAGGATGAAATATTCAATGCCGAGGAGCGTGACGCATTCTGTAATGCCCAGAACGAAAGCCTGCAGGTTCTCCGCAACGAAAATAGTATATGCTGACACGAAGCCCAGCTGCGAAATCGTGATTGAACCGAGGATCGCGTACCGCATCCAGGGACCGTACAGCGCGCCGCCGATATCTGTGGGACGACGTGTCAGTACTGAAAGATAGATGAACGAATGTACACACCACCGAAACTTCCAGACACCACGAATTTGGTCTTGACGAGGAGCAGGAAAGAATACAGCGAGACAAGAGCAATGAAAGTCAAGACAGCACTCGAGAACAAAATACCACCGTTGAAGAATCTAACAAGGGAATGACGTGATCAGCATTGTCCTAGACAGTGATGACATGCTCGAAACATACGCTTTGCCAAGGAACAAGATGCCAGTACCAACGAAGGATTTGAGCAACTACAGCCGCGTTCGCGTCAGTCCTTCCATCTCAGCAGCGGACTCAGCGACGAATACCCACCATGAGCACGGCCTGCGTAACTGTCGCATCGCCGTGTGGACCAATGCTTGCTGCCCTTCGCCTCTTCGAGCGCGATCGAGAGCGCTGAAGCAGTGGTGAGCGCTCGCTCGCTTTATGCAAGCCTGTCTCCGCTTCCGGGGGCAGAACAAGTGACAGGGGCGGGATCGCCGTGATCCCGCGCTCCGCCGCGTCGGGCATTGCGTGGGCCTGCCATATCTCGGGGAACTCATCTTCGTCCTCCTCCTCCTCCTCGATTTCCTCGAGGTCTTCTCCAGCCTGCAGGAGGAAACACATGTCAGCTCACCAGCTTGATGCACAAGACGACACGGATGGATGGTGAATGAGCCGGAGAGGGGGCCAGACTATAGGGTAGGAGAGGGGAGGGGAGGGGAGTGAGGAACTCACGAAGTGCCCGAAAAGATACAGGAATTCGATGAAATTGCGGGGTGCGGCGGGTGCGAGCTCGCCAGACCCGTCCCCATTGTGTGTGAGGACATAGTTCCTACGAAACCCGCCTGGCTCATGCAGATGCTGGAACGCGGGGTCGGGGGTCGACGCGATGGAACCTGAGAAAGACGTGGCGCGGGGTCGTGCTGCCTGACGCCGTTTATCCGCTTGCCACTTGTAAATGTTATGTCTGTTGGTGGTGGACGTCATCAGCAACGAGCTAGACTATAAGCGAGAGACAAGACCGGGAGAAGGCATAAACAATTTCAGACAGGACGAAGAATGCGGGACAGGACGGTCCGAATGCGAGATCGAGGGGGTGTAAAACGCCCAGTGTGTCTACACTCCTCAATACGCTTCGAAAAGCCGTGCTCCCTGGCAGGACCAATCGACGTATGGATGCCTCGCGCCTACATATGCGCCGCTAAGGAACAACAAGACTACACGACGCCGCGCGCTCTGTGACGGAACGAGAATCGCACGCATAAACCGCAGACATCCAGGTCCGTCCCTTCACGAAAGCCAGCACCACCTGGCTATCTTTCAGAAATTACTGTTCCAGGATTTGGCTTCGAATAGCGACGTCATGAAACAAGAATCCTCCTAGGATCACACGACCAATCGATATGAAGACGATCGTCTGCGCGGATGGTCGGGGCGGTAGGATGGGGAGCGAAGACTCACGTAACATCAGCACCGGGTGCATGATACGGAACAGGAAATGGCTCAGAATCCTCCCTTTGGGTACGTAAGTGGGACATGGAGGAGCGCTTGGATACAGCCCCGTTATCAGAACTGGCACTGATAGAACCCTCACGCTCCTGCCTTGACACGAGATGTCTCCTGAGGATCTTGGCCTTGTCTTCGTCGGTGAGCTCGTCAAGCATGTGCAAGTCAGAGCCACTCCCTGGCGTGCTAGACAGCCCTGAAGGGCGGCGTGCGCTGAGACCACCGACCGGAACGCTAGAGGATGGCTCGCCAACACCCGCTAACAGAGTGGACCCCGGGAGCGGCGAGTTGCCTGCAATGTTAGGCGTGCCCAATGGTGTACCCCGTCGAGGAATGTTGGGTGGAGGCGGGGTGCCAGCATACTGGGCTCGGAGCGCGCGAGGACTGGGAGACCCAGAGATTACGGAGACGGGGACGGGGGTGCTGGGGAGCTCAGTGCTGGCTGAGCGGGGGCTGGCGATGTCGAGCGGCTTGGAGGGCGACATGGAGAGGAAGAAAAGGCAGGACTCAGAGCTCAGTCACCGTGCGCTGGTCTCTGGAGGGGGTCCTGAGGCAGGGCGGATCGCCGCTTTTGGACCTTGGGGAAACGGCGCACATGATCTCCTCTCCGACAATGATAGAGCCAAATTAATGTAATAATCCCCATCTGCTCCTCCGCCCGAAATCCTAGCCCTTGCATTCTGCTGTCACCGGATGCACTTGGTTGGCTCGACTTTGTCTTGGACCAGCCTGCAATGCACCCTCTTTCGGGCCAGCGAGGCGGCCACGTGTCCTCGTTACAGCAATGCCCAGTCGCCGCACCTCTCTCCGCCTCTGCCTCTGCTGTGATCGATGTTTTTAATTTTCTTAGCCATCCGTCCGGTCATTTCTGCTACAAAAGACACCTGTTCTAATCCCCATTGAAGCCCACAACACTCTCTGCTGCTCAGGTCATGTGGTGTCGTTCTGAATTGAATAAATCTAGCTCGGTGTTCTGAAATGATCGCAGCCGAATGGCACCATTCATGCGAGCAGTTCGCCATCTTTCTGCTCAGGCTTTCTTGATCTAAATGACTGGTGGTCACTTTGGGCCCTCGCGAAGCGAACGTGTATACAACTGAGAGGAGGACTATATACTCACTATACTCACTGAGCATATGCCAACGACCGGAATCACGAATCGCCCCACATCCTTCAGGTCACAGCCTGAGCTTCCGGCCTAGGCTCCGGCTCCGCAGGTGCACATTCAACGCAGTGATTGTGTGCTGCGCTCAATCATCGTGCACATGAGCCTGGATATCTCAGCGGGTACCTCGGAGATTATTACCCGCTTGCTGATCTCTCATTGGTCCGGTAGCCGCAGAAACAACTCGCCTCTCATGCATATATCCGTCGTGCACGGGCTGGGTATTACGCTTTGGACGAAGACACTGAGTCTTAGAAAGTGCCATGAGCTCCCCATATTCGGTTCATGAGAGACCAACGGCGTCAGACGTCAGATCGAGTCCCGGCGCTCCGACAGTGAAGCCAATGGGTTATGGTGAGTTGTCTTAATTGCTACATAACACGGCGTCGTGGCCTCGCTGACTGACAATGGCAGCCCACATATTTACTTCTGTGAGGACCGAGAACGCTGCTTTTGAAAATGACCCACTACTTCGCTACGTCAGAAATGCCCCGGTATGGCACCAGTTTGGTTCTGGGTCGATTGGCAGACACCGTGTTCACTATATATGTTCGCAGGACGCACGTTTCGGAGACATATATCGAGCCGTGGCGTTCGTCGCGCAGCTTGTGCTCGATGTACATCGAGAAGAAGCGCTAACAATTGGTAATGGCGATGCGTTCGTAACATAGTCAGTGGCACTATGGAGCTATACAGATACGCTGCTTACTGAATTGTGGCCCACATTTTGTAGTCTTCTCAAGGAGGACCCGTTCTACGGGGTTGTATTCCCCCTTCTCAAAAAGCTAGATGTCTTCTCGTCTCCTGAACAGCATAGGGTATGTGTGTCCATATCAACTCTTCCACATAGCTGACTGGGTACCATGTGACTTTTCAGCGCCGTACGGAATGGTTCGAGAAACGTCAAGTCGCATTCAAGGAGGCTTTTGGCGAAAATCTGGATGACATGATCTACCTCATGGAGCTGGCGACGTCTCCGCAGAAGCAGGGATTAGGCTATGGATCAAAGCTCATTCAAGCAGTAACTGACTTGGTGTGTATCCATGCCTCTCTATTCGAACAGATCCCCGTAATCAGATTATTCATTTTTCACCCTTGGGCAGGCCGACGCAACTGAACGCAGGGTGTGGCTAACGTCATCCAACGTCGCAAACACGACATTCTATGAACATGCCGGGTTCGTGACGTTGGCAGAGTTTACAGTAGGAGACTCAAATCCGACATGGACGGAGAGTCCGATTAGAGTACAGATTGTGTGTGGTCTCATGATCAGATTTGAGCTTTGTCGTTGATGTTTTCACAGATGTCCAGGGAACCTCGAAGACCCGATGGCCTCATAGTGTCGACGGACATGTCAAATCTGATTAGGAGGAGGGTTCCGTCACAACGATAATATTTCATCTGACGCACTGGACCATTCTGTATGATAATCCTGCTTGTCAAACGTGTATGTCTGCTTCTCTTCGGCTGGGCGCAGTCATTTCGACTTCCTATGTGCATTCTACCTGTGAACTACAAGCTCTCGACGTCGCTGCTCGCTTTCACTGTACTAGGTTCCTTCTTCCTAAGACGTATTACCCTGGGACAGCACTTCATGCATTCTCCAAGCTGAGATCATGCTTCGCCATTTCCCGTGCGCAGGCGGCATGAGTTAGTGGGGCGCTTACTGCACCTTAGCCTGGCGTTGCTCTTCGCCGCAGCGCAAAGCTCAGTCATTAACACCGGGGACCATGGCTGAGGATTCGGCAGATAGCGTGTACTCGCTTCCGCTTCCGACGAGAACGACTTGCATGGTCGAGAGGTGAGCTCACAAAGGCTCACTCGCGGAGACACCAATCCAACGTGGACGAAAGATTCTGTTATTGGCCAAGTGGTATGTGCTTTGTGCCACGGATCCTTCCAGTCGCCACGTTCATACTTTTTTCAGATGGTGAGGGTCCATCGACAGATTGACGCATTCAGCACAGAAGCAGAATCTGAGGCCTCGGCACTACTCAGGGGAAGGATTGTGTCGCATGATTTACGACAGGAATAATACACAGAATGATCTCGCATTTCTTTGCGCTCGCGCTCGCTCTTGTTGTACCACTTCTTAGGGCTGCGCAACGACCCGGCGACTCTTACGGAATACACACGCCTGGTAGCGCCGCTAGGCGCTCCATTCGATAGACCGCAGCATACAGACCAGTACCATCAGAAGACATTGAATCCGATGACTTGACGTCCTAATCTCTGGGCCAGTCGAGAGGGATGATTACCTAGTTCATCTCGCAGCAGGAACTTCGGCGTGTATTACCCGCGTGTCGGAATACAATTCATTGAAAAGCCGCATACAATACCCGTCGTCAAGGGCGTCCGTGCTCAGTGACACTTCCCTATACGAACATCCTCAAGTGTGCCATGGACATGAAGACCCAGTATGTCCTTATCCCTGAGGAGGAGAGAGCAGTGCAAGCAGAATGGCATTCGAGCCCGCCTATCGTCGCGCATATGAAGTATAGTAAGTTGTACGGCAAACGCTGGCACAACTAGAAGGGGTCGCTCTCGCTTATCGGAATAACTACAGCGCATATCCCTGCAGGTGTCCGAGCCATTGAAGCTGCATTCGAACACGACCCCCTCAAATGCTACATCAATGATACTCCAGTGAGCGTCGCGATCAGCTGAACTTCATGCATACTATATGCGTCACAGCAGGTCGTACCTGAACACCTCCTTCCACGCAGGATGCGCGCAACTCGCGGTTGAGAAATGCGTACCTGCGACTGGGACTAGTGATACAACTTTCAATGTACGTGCATCAGAAAGAAGTGTACACGGTCGATGGTGGCGATGCAATAGCTTCATAGTTAGTGCTACAGAACTTGAATCTATCTAGCACCTCATCCGCTGACTTTGCTTCGCTCTTGCAGCAGTCGAACCGGGGATATGGGACCCTTGTTCCGGTTCTTCGCACCCATATTTCGCGCGTTGGATATGTTCAGCTCTCCTGAACAGAAAAGGGTAAGTCAGACCCATGCTATTGCACCATCTTTGCAGCTGATACACATCCTGTCAGAGAAGAGCCGAGGCGAACTCGAAGCTCAATGCTGCGAATGAGGCGATCTTTGGAAAAGGCCCGTACGACATGGTGTTGCTGATGGAGCTTGCAACGACGCCAGAAAAGCAGGGCAGAGGCTATGGGACGGCATTGGTCGCAGCCGTGACAGACATTGTACGTTGTTATGTTGTTTCCCTATCCGTTGGCTTACCATAATAACTCCTAATTAAAGGCGGACGCGATTGGAAAGAGGACGTGGCTCCAGTCGTCCAACATTGCAAATACTATGTTTTATGAGAGATGTGGGTTCGTGACGGTAGGGGGGTACAAGCTCGGAGACACAAATCCGACGTGGACAAAGCCCCCGGTCATCGTTCGGATTGTGAGTTGACTTCTAAGTGTATCTTGATCGATCCCGCAACTAATCGTACATGCTCCAGATGATGCGGGAACCTCGGACTCGGAGATCTGACGGTTCGTACGAGAAGATGCAACAAAGCTGTTGAAATCTGAAATGTAGGGATGCAAGGTAGTCGTGCATAGCATGCACTAAGCCCGTGTATTCTGATGTTTGGCTGATCGCACATCCAGTCTTTGCTATCTGCATAGGACTCAGCCCCCACGAAGAATAAAGCAAGCTTTCACCGTAACATCTGGCTTGTCGGGTAGTAGTGGTATAGTCTGTAAACCCATTAGCGGGAGTAGGTCTGGTATAGTTTTGTGTTTCTCGTGTGAATGAGGCTATGTGGTCTCTATAGTTAGCCGTTTTGGTGGCGGAGGAGTGCACTGCGAGCATTGTGCGGCTCACACGTTTGTACCAACTTTATGCCTGGAAGCCAGCCCGTAAGCGCACGGCATTTACCAGCTAACTCGTCCAAACACTGTGGTAGTGACCACCACGATCGATCATTACTAGTAGCAACGGTCGACTGTTTGAACGACATGCTCTCGAGCACACCTCCTCGTCGACAACACAGTGTCCTTCCAGGTCTTTGATTTCGTCTTGAGCCAGCCTGCTGGTCTTACATTCTCGTCAGCGCCGCATCTTGAAGTCTGAGTCGCATACACTTCACTTTTGCCGAATAGATGCACCGGGGTGGTCACAATGGAACTTTCGTGGATGCCCGCCCTATAGTGCAAGCCTCATTCCGGAGCCTTTGAGTGTTGGCGTACTATGGCTGCACTCTCACTGTCAGGGTCGTTCACATCGAGTCATTTCACAGCGCGGCAAGAATAGCCACCTCGTTGTGCGCGCGATCTATCTCCGGCTGTACCCATTCAAATTTCGTGGCAATCTGGATCCGAGACTGGGCGTACAGGCACACCTGCACTAGATCTTGGTCCTGATCCGTTTGTGATGGCCAGCCCATTCAACGCTAGTCAAACTTGTTTGTACTTGGTCTGAAAGCCTCGCTAGAGCATCCATGATGTGTTTACTATTCTCCTCAAGCAGCCACACTGCTCGGCGCCATTGCTATTAATTCTTGCCTTTGACGGCAGAAGTTGATTGCGGGGTGCGACAACTCGTGTTGGCCTCGAGTTCAGGATCACTCATTCATTTGCAATGAGGCTGCAAACGCTCTGGCTGCAGGCTGAAGGCAGGCCTCCACGACCGCCTTTCTTCTTATGTCCCTCGTCCCGCCCATTTCCTAGCCGACCATCTCTCTCGGCTCTGTCTTTGGTCTCCACCTCTTGCGATGTCGAGAGTCAGACGAAAGCCGCCGCCCTCATTCCCTTATTCTCCCAAATACCCTCACCCAGATCCTACCGATCCATATGTACCTCTGAGGACGCTGCGCGAGCGCGCCTCACTCACCAATACGTCGCAACATACTTCCCACGACAGCCCTTACGCCCACCTCAGCCCGGATCGCGAGGGGTTCTTCCTAACCGTCTCTCCTGATGCTTTTGGACAGGGTCTCGATATAAATTATCCTCCAAGTTCTTCTGACAACCACAGCGTTCTGACTCCTCCGCGCATATATCAAGAGCATTTCGGCGGTTACCACTCAGACAGCCCCATTGCTCGTGCTCCGCGCCCGTTGCGCTCCAGGATCAAGCCATCCCGAGAATCGAGGTCGTACTTTTCCGATCTTGACCTTTCTTCAGCGTCGCCTATCCCTCGTCACCATGACCAGCACCAGAAAGAGAAAACAGCTGAATCGGACTACCATTATCGCAGGCGCTCTAGGTCCGTCTTCATTCCACGCCCCCAAAGCCAGAGCCAGGAGCAAGGTGATCCACCCACGGCAGATGTATCACCATCGAATGCGAGTGCAGATGCGATCGCATCCCCCCATTCTGATGCAGCCGGTGGTATCTTGGTGAGACAGTATACGTACGATGACCGCCAGTCTCACGGATATCTCTATGTACCAGCTGGGAACGAGCTCGATGTTGAGGAGTCTCCAGCACCCGAAGTGGACGCGCACGTACACTCGCAGCCCCAATCGCAGCGTTCCGCAACGCCCTCAATGACACCTGACGATACTCTTAGTTTGAGCAGTACAAGTGGACGAGATCGCTCTGTCTCGCTTTCTCCGCGCTCGCTCGTCCGCGACCTCCCACGTGCAGTCTCGAAGCCCGTCTTGCGAATTGAGGAGCGGAAGAAAATTCTAGAGCAAGAGCAGGACACACCTCTGAGCGCACACGGTCCAATTCAGACAGCGGATTTTTCTATATTGCGTTCTCCAACAGGGCCCTTGCCGTCATCCGAAGTGGATTCTATTGTCTTCCCGCCCAGCGAGTCTCACACCGAGTCTACATCTATCCCTGAACCTCAGCAAGAACAGGACGGAGAGCAGGAAAAGCCCAAGCGCGGAAGAGCCATGAGCGCAGGTAATCGCGAGGATACTCGAGATGCATCGCGCCAGTCGAGCTTCGAAGCTGGGCGACGGAGAACTTCCTCGAATCCGGGTCGCCGCCAAGTTTCAAGGAAGCCATCGGTTGAAAGCGAGTCGTCGCTGGCTATCTCTGCTGCACTGGAAAGCGTGCAAGTGCCTGCGGACGAAGCACTCCTGGAGTCCCCAGAACCAGTGCCGGAAAATATCTTCACGTCGAATGCAGGTCCTTCTTCGTTTCCTGCGTCTTTTGCACATGACCATAGACTCGCTGCTGCCCATACGCTAACGAAAGATTTTACTTTTGGTCGTGGCTCTCACCTCGGCGGAGGGGAGAGTGAGCCAAATATTGGCAGTAAATCCACGCGGTTCATCATGCACAAGCCGAAGAAAAGCCTAAGCTACGTCAGCCTGGGGCTATCAGCGCTGCCGAATGTGAGCACCGGTCCAACTATCGCACATAGCGCAAATACGAGTATCGGGAGTGCCATGACGGTAGGTGGTGGGTTTGGGAGTATCGCTAGTTTGAGTAGGGAGGACCTCGACAAGCAGGCTCAGCAGTTCTTCTTATTGCGCCCGCCCCCTAGCATGGCGGCTCAGCCTGCCGAATCCAAGGGGCTAGAGCGTCCGCCTATTACCGAGCGGAGTGCTCGACGAGTCTCGTCGTTTAATATTCTCGATGAAGACCAGCTGGCTGCACAACTCGAGCACGAATTTTCAAGTCCTGCGGTACGGGGCCAGTCAACACCGGCGTTCACATCCCTCTCATTGCTTGATCGACCACGAACGCCCCAGCCGCTCTCACCTATAACGTCGCGAGGCCCTTCGCCTGTCGGAAACAATCGAGAATCGCGCTACCAGCCTGGGCCGCGTGATCCTACGCCACCGCCTGTCCAGACGTTCGCGAGCCCAATTCCTCGCATACCAGCGCCGATTCCACGGGTTCCATCGCCTGACAATCATCGTCAGTCATACGCTCAGTCTGCTCTTCCACCACCCGTATCTGACTCTCCCCCCAAATTCTATATCTCACCAATACCGCCATCAGAGGTGCTTGCTCCCGCTCCTCTTCCGCTTTCTCCCCCTCAGCCCTCAGAACCGCCGACGCCACTTCCACTTCCTACGCCACGCACCAAGTCGCCGGTTCCCCGCCCACCGTCTCGACCACGCGAATCTCAGAACACTGTTCCAAACGTCATACGCAGTGTTGCCGCACATGATGTCATGCCAACTCGGTCACGAAGCCCGCCCCTCGAGATCAAACAGAGGAAGCGGGATACGATTAGAGAGGAAGAAAGGCTGTCCGCTTATCTGCCTGTAGCTCAGCTTCGGCCTCAAACGCAACTTCAAGTTCCACAGCCACAGCAAGGGCCGACGCTCGCAAGAAAGCGCATTAGCACCGCGCAGATCTCTGCGCCGCTCAGGCAGCCGACACCTCCTGCTCCGGTGCAGGTGTCAGAACCACAACCAGCTCCGACGCTTGCTCGCAAGCGAATTAGTACCGCGCAGGTCTCTGCACCCGTCAGGCAGCCGACACCTCCTGCGCAGGCGCAACGTCAAAGTCGTGCGCGGTCAGCTACACCCCCACCCCAGCCTCCTTCACGCTCGCAATCGCCATCAGTAGAGACACCGTACCGATCAGCGTCGGCAATTGCCATGCAGTCTCGTGCCCAATCTCCCCCTCCTGTGCCCGAATTTAGAGCACAATCTCCTCCCGTGGTGTCCAAGTCTCGGTTCCGCTCTCCGCCGCCTCATTTTGTGTCTCGCGCCCAATCGCCTCCGCCTCGAGCACCATCGCGGGCGCGATCACCCACATCGTCACAAGACCACGCCCTCCGGAGAAGACGCAGCCGTGAGCAGTCTAATTCGCAACTCTCCAGAGCAGGAACGTCACAGAGCGCCGGGACGCAGTCGTCTGGCCCACAGAATCGCCGTCATGATACCGCGCCGTCCACTCCGGTGCCTCGACATACCACGCCATCACCAACCATGACCACACATTCCCAACCATCGCGGGCGGCCAGACGCTCACGCTCGCAAGCACAAGTACCGCAGAGGACGAGACGGCATCCCCAGCAACGCGAGCACCAGGTGCACCAGTTACCCACGAGAAACATGCGGTTTGATGAGTATGCCGCGCCGACACCGGAACAGCTCAGACTAGCGTCGTCCATCTTTGTCGTCGCACAAAATGGATTACGTGTCCAGTTTGGCGAGTTGTTCAGGGAAAGGAAGACTATTGTCTGTTTCATACGGCATTTCTGGTACGTGGGCCTAAAATGTATCCAGATGAGATACTCACGGTCTGCCTGAAGGTGTCCCAATGACCAGGATTACATGTATTCCATTGCGAAGACAGTGAACCCTGATGATCTTAGACGTGCGGGGATAGATCTTGTGATCATAGGTGTTGGCTCTCCAGCTATGATCAAATCGTACAGACGTAAGTCCTTGTCTATCTTCTCTCATCGCTCGTGACTGAATGCCACCCAGAAATCTTCCGGATGCCCTTTGCGGTTTACACTGATCCGGCTCTACGTGTGCACGCTGCGCTCGGGATGACACGAAAAACCCAAGACCCTGGCTTGGATTCGGAGCGTGGAGAGTATGTGAGACATGGTCCTCTGGGCGGCCTCGCGATGGTCGTCAGGAACGCCATCAGGGTGGGCATGCCTGTATGGGAGAAGGGGGGCGATGTGACCCAGCTTGGTGGAGAGTTCGTCTTCGGACCTGGGTAAGCACCTCATGACACGAGACTGGTTGTTCTTGTGCTCATTCTATGCAAATAGGCCGTCATGTGGATACGTACACCGGATGAGCACGACGCGCTCACATGAACCCATCCAACGTATTTTGACGATGGCGGGCATCCGTACGGTGCCGTTCGGGCCTAGCGGTGCGTCACGATCCTTCGTGTCCCCGGACGACGAGGAGAGCTGGATGGAAGATAGGCGCCGAAGTTTTGCACGCATGCAGTCAAGGCGAGAAAAGCGCAGAGAAGGGACGGGTGAACAATGGAGAAGGGAAAATTCATTCGACATGAACTATGAAAGCGACCTTGGTAGCGGCAGTGTTGAAGGAGTTTGGGGCACGAACATGACCAGAGAAGCAGGTGCGCGGTCAACGGAGGACGATCGCGAGCTTTATTCCAGCAGGAAGCGTGGTTTCCGTGTCGCAAACCCAGATCAATACACGCCATCCACACCCATCGAGGAGCACGAAGCAAATGGGGATCACGGCTGGGACGCGGACGTGTCTGACTTACCGTACCTAGAGGGCATTGGACGAACGCGGGCCGAGTCGTACCAGTTGACGCAAGAGGTCCTTGCATATTCATTTGGCAAAAGATGAAGGGCAGCGCTCTCCATCTCGCTGACCAACCACATTATGGCGCACATATTGACATCGTAGGTTCCGGCAGCCTGGCAGACGGACTTGTTAAATTATCACTTGCACTTCTGTATACCTGAACTGTTATCATTGATTGGTTCCGTCAGCGGGGCCTGTTTCAATTAGAGTGATTTATCCACATAGCTGGTATTAGTAAAATAAATAAGCACCAAGTACCAATCTTCCCTTGTCGAAGTGACGTCGTCAACCTCCGCCACCCCGAACGTCCTCTTCGACTTCACAAATCTCCTGTACACCCTCTCGGAAGAAGACGACATTGTATTCGACCAAGCCTCTGCGAGCATCAAAAACGGCTGTTGGGATGAGAGCTAGCAACGCAAGCTGTGACGTGATAAGATGATACGCGATAGTCGTGCCCACACCAGCACTAGTTGCAGAAGGAGCAAGTGCGACTGAAGCGCTGGGATAGAACAGGGCCTTCGAGAGGTGCGAAGGAGCACGGGAAGAACCTCTTGAATCAGAGGCTACGGATGCTGATTGAGACTGGGATTGAGATCCTTGATTAGAAGAATTACGAGAAGAACGGGATAATGGCGATTTGGGCGCAGGAGTTGTTGCATGCGAGCGCTGAGATGTAGGTAACAGAGAAGTAGGAGTTGAGGGTGCAGACGAGCGGGAGACTGGCTCAGACCGCGGACATATAGGGGGTTGGTGGCGTTGGGGACTAGCGGATATAGATCTTAATCGGTAACGTTGATGAACAGACGTCAAGGAATAAAAGGATACCGAACTGACTTGTACAGAGGCCCAAAAGCATTTAACATCAGAAGGTAGTCACTGCAGAGGTTGTGGGTGGGTGGGTCAACAGGGGATGCGTCGGTTGCGACGTATAATCTTGATCTGATGTCGAACAGAAATGCCTTAGAGGATTGAGAATTCTGCGTGCTAGGTGTTGGAAATGCATACCCGAGAAAGATCAGGAGACATACCGCGCAAAAGACGTTCAGTAAATCTTCAAGATATGGTAAAGACTCGATCGATTTCTGAAGTAGACGGGAGAAAGCATCATGGAGGGAGTGGTCATGAATAGATGTGAGCTGGAAATTGATTGGAATTTGGTCGTATTCGATGGAGATATCAGTCAACTCGTCAAGTATCCGCTGTTGCACATAGCGGAAGTTCTCTGGTTATCCCCTTAGATGATAGTAAGAGACTCATGAGAAGACAACACACCCATCCGGTATTCCTCAGATAGTGCATCTGCTTTATGTACGAACACTTCCAGATTGATGTGTGGATTCTCCTGATATGCTGTAATTACGACATTTACGAGTTTATTAATCGGCGGCTGCAACAAGTCCTGAGTGGTGCATGATTAGCGGGTGGATGCATGACCAGATCAGAGTTGGGACGAACTTGTATGTCGATCACAAATATCAAGGTAGCGAATTGCGATAAAGGCGCATCGAGAGTCTCCAACGATATATCACCCGGGCAGTCCCATATCTCAAGAGGTATGATCGTGCTGATTTGTGACGACCGGTTATTCAAATAACTGCGGTGGGGGGACAGCGGACGCACTCGTAGGTGTGCTTGGAGACACGGGTGGTCCGCTCGATATAAAACGCGTTCTTTGGCAGCTTATCTTGGAAAAGGACTTCCTGGATCGATGTTTTACCGCTCCTAGACACTTGAATATAGGGAGTAAGATTATGTAGTAAAGGAGCGATACTCACCGCCGCATGCCGAGAAGTAGAATCTTTGTCCGCATAATATCGTTGCCGTTCTGAGCATCTACAAGCGGTGGTGGAGATAAACTTGATGTCGAGCCATACTGCTGTGTCATGGTCGCCGTCGTCGAGTATGCGCGGAAGAGACGAGCTCGATGAGCTCGTCAGGTTGCTCGTTGGATGGACCGTTCCGGGCGGACGCCTCTGCCGCGGGCCGCGGTTCGGAGATCATCGCGGGGTTTGAATGCAAGTGGCAAGCCTGGCACAAGCCTGGCAGGTGGCCCTGGTCTTCCTACGCACGGGATCCCGGTAACTGCAAGCGCTACATACGCACGTTCGTGGTTTCATTGCTCCCATTCGGCTGGACTCGAGCTTACCGTTCACGAGAACATGTTGCAGACTCCTCGCTTTCCGGACGCCGTCCTTGCTCCTCTTTTTGCGCCATGAAGTTCGGGCGTAAAATCAGCGTACGTCTGGCCTTCTCAAGGCGTAGCACTATTTCTGATATCTAACAGAATGATCTCTACAATGAATGGAGACCGTTCTATATCAACTACAACCTGTTGAAACGAGAGCTTAAGGTCTGTTTCCTCGTAGCGTTGACGCTTGCCGTCCGCGTTCATCTGACAAATGTGGTCATATTCAGGCGCGGACCACATCTCACAGCTGGAATGACGTGGACGAACGAGAATTCACTGCAATGCTAGAGAAGGAGCTGGACAAGATCCATGATTTCCAGAAGTCCAAGGTCTGCCCTTCACCCTTGCCTGTATCTGCTGTTTACCTTACCTTTTCTGAATGATTAGACTGCTGAACTGTCCACCCGCATTAAGGAGGCGGAGAGAGCTGTGAAGCGTCTTGTTACAACCGAATACGTGGATGGTCACCATGCAGATGCCAGCACATCTACAGACCCCGAAGCTCAAGAGCGACTCCCTGATGCGACCCAGGATGCCGGCTCGGATGATGATGACTCTGACGATGAAGGCAGTGATGCCATGTCCATGGATGCCTTTGAAGATCAGTTTGCCGTTCTAGAGGAAGAAGTTGCTACGCTCGTCGCAGACGTTCATGATCTCGCATTATATACCAAACTCAACATCACAGGATTCATGAAGATTCTCAAGGCAAGTTTGAATCTTTCAATCCATATTTGAGTACTCACTTATTGATCACACGACCAATTTTACACTCGCAGAAACATGACGTATGATTTATCAAGTTACATAAGATGGCCGTACTGATTGACAAGATGTGCATAGAAACAAACGAATCGGCCCTTAAAACCCACTTTCATTCAAAACTACCTTGAGAAGCGTCCGTTTTATAAGTACAATTGGGATGGTCTTATTGTCAAGTTGTCCAAGTTGTATAATCTTGTTCGCACGCGAGGCCATCCTGTACAAGGTGACTCAAGCGCGGGTGGGAGCCAAAGTGCCTTCATTCGTCAGACGACTAAGTATTGGGTTGGTGTATACACATAGGATGCTTTTGTATGGCCTTCAATTTATATTTTCTGACTGTAGGTACACCCCGACAACCTTGTCCATCTTAAACTGGCTATTTTAAAGCATCTGCCTGTCCTTGGTGAGATCTTTCATCTATGCCCTGCGATATTTCAATAACTCGTTTGTGTAGTCTTTAACCCGGACAAGGAATTTGAGCCTAAGGATGCAGGTAATTAGCAGTTATAAGCAAACTCCTCATTCGCTTACTCGACCATAGCAATTACGTCCATATACTTCGATAATGAGGACCTTGAGCTATATCTTGGTCGGCTTGAAAAGACTGAAGGTGCGGAAGCCGTTCGATTGCGCTGGTATGGTGACACAGATGTGAAGACCGTAAGTCCCAGATTGAGTGTATAACCATTATGGCCTGCTCAACGTCGCGCGTAGATCTTTGTTGAACGTAAAACCCATCGCGAGGATTGGACGGGAGAGAAGTCCGTGAAGGCACGATTCCCCATCAAGGAACATCTTGTCAACGCATTTTTGCGCGGGGAGTACATCATGGATGAGGAATTTCAGGGACTAGTGACGAAAGGGAAAAAGAGCCAGCAGGAGGTGGACTCTATGATACAGCTTGCGAATGAGGTCCAGTATGCGATCTTAACGAAGCAGCTTCAGCCCGGTGAGTAGTGGATAACAACTGGTCACACTCGCGTGTTGATTTGTTATGCATTGCAGTCGTGCGTACATTTTATAATCGTACGGCGTTCCAGCTCCCTGGCGATGCGCGCGTACGTATATCATTGGACACGGAACTTACCATGGTCCGCGAAGACAATTGGGATGGCCGCACACGATCAGGAGATAACTGGAGACGAACAGATATTGGCGTCGACTACCCTTTTGACCAGCTACCCCCAGAGGACAAGGAGTTATTCAAGTCAGTGCGAAAATTTCCGAACGCTGCAATTGCTGATAGTGGTATTCTGTGACACTTCAGATACGGTGTCTTGGAGGTCAAGCTACAGACTCAATTCGGACAAGAGCCTCCACAGTGGGTGACTGATCTGGTTTCATCACATCTTGTAGAGGCCGTGCCCAAGGTAGGAATTGACCCTAGAGTATCCATGATGTGCTACTGATGTATGATGCTGAGCAGTTTAGGTATAGTCGTCTTGCCTTACGTTTGTCACAGGGGGACTGAGTCTAAATAGTAAATTCATCCATGGTTGTGCCACACTTATTCCCAATCGAGTCGATCTTGTGCCTTTCTGGCTTCCACAAAGTAAGCTAATATTGCACATTTTTACACCACCGGACAGCGCCACTGACGTTTCGTTAGTGGACACCGACATTTTAAAGCCTGATACGGGTGCCCTCACGATAGAAAGGCCGCTGCAAACTTCGTCGAAGGGAACCTCAGAACCTTCGGCAGGAAAGGGATCTTCTGGTGCTACAACACCCGAAGATGTACATATTGCATATGCGGAACCCGTCTCTGAAGGCGAAGAGGATGAAGAGATGGATTTGGCACCAGGTTTCTAGTGGATTTTTATCGACAACGTCCCTGGATGCTGATTCTTATCTTCAGCCAGAGATGAGTACAAGCGCACGGGTCTACCCAACGACCAGGTTGCGGCGGCAATCGCTTATCGGGAGAAGTCGCTCACGCAACAAGGTAGTGCGCAACTGCAGAAGAGTGGCGATCATACGTCGGCAAACGGTGCGAGTAGTCGCGAAATGCTCACGCAGGACAGTGGGGTCGATGGTGATATGATCAGCGATGAAGAGGATGAAAACGTTGATGAGCGCACTCCATTTCTCAGAGGCAGGAAGGCGTCGAAATTAGCGGTGGCACAAAACTCTCCAGGACGGACGTTGTCCATTGACCCACTTGCACCATCAGCCGCATTTGATGAGACATTGCGTGATCGCCTCAAGGAGGACGCGGCGCGTCAAATACCGACTGAAGAAGCAGTCGATGAGGATGAGGATGAGGACGAGGACGAACCGACAGAAGGAACCTCTAGATTGAACAGGAAACTCTCAAGACGAGACAGTGAGCGACTTCTGGAACGCAACTGGACTGCGCCTCCGGGGAAACGTATTGCGGTCCCAGTGCGTGTTGAGCCTAAGGTGTACTTTGCTGCAGAGCGAACTTTCCTTGTGAGTCTTTGTAGCTTTCTTCTTGGTGAGCAGTATTGATGACGTTGTGCTAGAAATGGCTGCACTTTGCCATCTACATCGGTACCATTGCGACAACTCTATTGAACTTCATCGATCCAAGGGATACGGTCGGACTGATCAGCGCAGGTCTTTTCACGCTGACTGCTCTGGTTGCCATTGCGTATTCTGCAATCATTTTTGTGTATCGTGCCCTCAAGCTACGCAAGCGCCACGCGGATGGTATGTATTACGACAAGTACGGGCCAACTGTGCTCTCGCTCTTCTTAGTTGGCGCGCTGGGCATCAGTGTCGTGCTAAGGTTGAGGGAGATGGCGGATTGAGGGAGTGCTGTTTATGCATTTTCCATGTCAGAGTTCATGATATGATATCCTGTGTCTGGAGCTTTCGTTGCAATGCATTCCTCCGTTGTTGCTATAGGAGACACTTAAGTCTCAGCTTTAACTCGCGAGGAGAGTCTTGAAGATGCGCCTTGTGTGACTAAGTTATTGTGGTCAATTTGTACTACCTTGATGGGCTTGTCCCGGATCTCGATTATCGGGGTCCGGGCCGGACCCTGGGAATCTCGCCTCATTTAAAAATCTGCGCGACCGTAGCTTCAACAGGCATACACTTTCGCCTTTGACTGGCTCGTCAAGTACATTTACAGGTACGTTGTATTCTCCTGATCAATGTCTGGAATGATGTCTTCCACAATTTCTTATCTACATTGTCCGATTGGGTTCTATCCAGCTTGGCGAAAAACTTGTGTCTGACTTCGCGGATGTCGTCCACGTGTGTATAATTTTACTGATTGGCTTTTTTGTATAGGTCGATTGGAATGCTATCGTAGGCTTTCATGCGTTTGTGAAACGTCGTGGGGGATTCACAGGGCGGTTTCGGGGTACCTTGTAGATATTCCATGTCACTCCAAACCGCGGAGGCTGATTTCGTTGCTGCTGTACTAGCATTACGCTATGAATTTCTACTTTGAGGCAGCCAAAGTGTTGGACAAGTTGGACGCAAAGAAAGGCTCTATTAAGAGTGTCATTGCCGCTGTAAACGAGAAAGACAGGAAGAGGACAGCCGCACTGGTAATTGAGACGTTGAAATGTGAGAGATGCGGTGACGTCGACATGTCATTGGACTTACCACTGATTTCTCGTACAAGACAAGCAGGTGCTGGTAGATGTCATAGACGCGACCAAACTCCTGAAGGAGGAGCGAAAGATCACCTCGAAAAACTTGGCGTTGCTACTGGTTCATGATCTTCTGCTGACCAATGGGATTCAAGCTGGGGATGGACCAGTGAAACAAGCGGTTTTTCGACATAAGACAAGGTTGAATAGCGAACTACAAAGAATCAAAATCAAGCGTGGAGCCAAGTCGAACGGGGAGCTCGCCCAGGGCGAAGACTCGAGGGCAGGTAAATTTTTTTCTACTGCTTGTCGAAGTATTTAACGTGTACATTCGTACAGCACTCATCCCCCGCTACGTTCGGGTGAACACCGCATACTGCACGACTAACGAAGCAATAGAAGATTTCATCTCGCGCGGCTTCGAATTATCTGCGCCTTTTGCGTCAAAGTCAGGGTTCATCCTCTTTTGATCAAATTTTGCCTGATGACGTGCCGCCTCAGACAAGGCTTCGCTAAAGATGAGCATATTCCTGATCTCCTTGCGTTCAATCCCCGGGTTAGCTTCGAAACCGACCCGCTGTATACGTCTGGGAAAATCATCCTACAAGACAAGGCGTCGTGCTTTCCAGCTTACATTCTATCCCCACCGTCGACGGATGAAAGCGTAGTGATCGATGCAACGGCGGCGCCAGGGAACAAAACTTCACACCTCTGTGCCCTTATGAAGAACCGAGGAAGGGTCAGGCTTCACATTCTTAGCTCAAGGTGCCGACGTCTGATGCTTGCTTGGGATTAGCTCTTTGCCTTCGAGCGCGATCGCAAACGTTTTAGCACGCTAAAAATGATGTTGGGAAAGGCTCAATGTCAGAATGTGGAACCCGTCAACGCAGATTTTCTCACCATCTCCCCTCAAGATAAAACATACGCCGCAGTTACACATATGTGAGTAGCATCAACTGTTCCCAGGTGATAATATGACCCCGAGTTTGTAAAGCCTTCTTGATCCATCATGCAGTGGATCTGGAATTGTCAACCGCCTAGATTACCTGCTAGACACAGGTAAGGTCTGCAGAAAGTTCAATGACAGAGGGTTATGACAATCTATATTTTAGAGAATGAGAATGACGGGGAACAAGAACGTTTAAACAAGCTCGCGGCGTTCCAGTTGTCGATGATTAAACATGCTATGAAATGTGCGCTCTCTTTATCCTTGTGTGACCCTGATCCACTCACACCAAATCATAGTTCCCTCTGTCGAGAAAATCGTATACTCTACTTGTAGCGTCCACGCAATTGAAAACGAACAGGTCGTTCGCCAGGCTCTGACAAGCGACGAGGCTATTTCTGGGAGTCTCGTACTAGCGTCGTCGCATGATGTTCTGCCACAGTGGAAGCGAAGGGGTTTACCCGAGGAGATGGCGACTCCTGGTGCGTTCTCGACAATTCGACAATCGTTCGCCGCGCCTAACACGAGTTTACATCCACAGCGGATGCAGCCTCACTGGTCAGGTGTTCACCAGACGAGGATGCAACAAACGGCTTCTTCGTCGCCCTGTTTGTGAAGAAAAAACCTCCAGACCCGATGACGGCAGAAGAAAAAGCCGAGCCGTCCGCAAAAGCAGCTCACAAACGGAAGAAGGCTACTCAGAACGAGGCGGTGGAAGGTACCACGGGGCGGCGAAAGAAGAGGAAGAGAAGCGCAAATCCCGACTAAAGGTCGTATGCGCGCATGGGTGGATCACAATTACATGTTCGTAGGGCCAGACATTGGACACATAACAGGCAAGCGAGTTATTATACGTCATCCCGTTTCAAACTTGGTGAGATACAAGAAGGAAAATGTTAGAGGTACCGTGAGCTACACCGAGAAGAACACTGCTGTTTATCCTGAACGAAGGTTGACGGTCAGTGACAATCAGATACAAACCATTCCATCAGATATTCTGATCAGAGGTGAATAAGTGGACATTCGCTGCGGAGACGTAGGGAAGGAAATCGATGCCAACGAGGGCAATCTGGACTGAGTGAGAAAGCTGGAGTCGGAGGAAAGTGAGATCACCAAGCCCGGTGCACCAATTACAATACACATTCGGATTAGTGTGTTGGGGTATCGGCCTGCTGCTGATATTGGTTCTGGTAATACTGAGCGTAGTTAGCCGAGTAATCTTGAGTTTGCTGCGGGTAATAGCCACCGCCTTGGCCGTAACCGGCTTGGCCCCATTGCTGCCCAGGCGCATATCCTCCGACGCCAGGCTGGGGAGGGCGAAAACCGTTATTCTGCTGAAGAGGTGGTATGTTGCTGCTCTGCCAGACCTCGGGTCGGCGCCAAGGAGGGATGTTTGACCCGCCAGCTGTGATATCATGCCCAGCGGATCCCGTCCATGGCGCCCTTCCGCCGTCCCCACCTGAGCCCTTGGCCCCCTCCCCAAGCTCTGCCATAAGACTGGCGTATTCCGAGTCAAACCCGCCTTTTGCGGCGGGAGGAGGTGGAGCGCTATGAATGGCGTTGGGATCCCTGTTGACAGTGCAGTCACGAGCCATGTGCCCAGCACTTCCGCAAACACGACAAATGATGTTGGCGGTGAAGTTACGCTGCTCTGGACAATCGTACTTGCGATGACCTACGCCACCGCAGTTCTGGCAAATCTGGTTCTCGTCATCACGGAGAGTACCATTGAGAGCAGCCAATTCTCGGAGTTGGTTACGCTTGTGATCATTCTGGCCTTCAGGGGTAGATGCAGCCTGGATGATATTCATAAGAGTTGGATACGAAGTGCGTAAAGAAAAAACACACCGTCTCAATGACCCTATTAATGAGCCTGACACAAGAGGTGACCTTATCATCCGTGTCAGCAGTGACAAGACAGTGAAGATCCTCCTCTGCATCTTCTGCATACTGTTCCGGTCTGGCCTTGCCCTCTTTGACGCTACCCTTTCCTCTAATACTAATTTTGGCACCGCTATCCCTCTCCATCTTCTTCAGACTGTTACCTCGGGGACCAACGAGCAATCCGAAGAAATTGATTTCAGGAAATTCCTTGACAGGAATATACACCTTCTCAGAGGGGCGCTGGGAGCGCTTTTGCTGATGGTACTCGACAGGCGGACGGAAGTTCGGGTCGTTCTTCATTGCCCGGTCTACTAGTCTGATACGCTCGTCTTCCAATTTTTTACGATAGCGAACTTCCCGCGTGTTGGTACGACGACCATGCGCATCGTACGTAGGAGGGGGGGACGGGGAACTATGAAAGCGTTAGAATGAAGTGCTTTGGCAGCACGGGACTACTCACCGCTCGCGCTCAGGAGGAACATAATCGTTCAATCTCAATTTACGGTTGATTTCTTCCAGGCGCAAATGAATGGCATAGTTATCGAGATGGGCTTGCGATACGCCTTGGGCAGAAATTGCAGTGGGCAATCCAGGGATCTCTGTTTTAGCATCACCCCAGCGACTTCGGCGCTTGCGAGGTGCGTTAGGATCAGCTAGTAAGGCGTGGTGGGTTAGAAGATATCGTGGTTAGTAAAGCGGACAACGTCAGTGATCAGTGTGAACGAGGATCATGCATGGAACGTTCAGTGTATTCTGCTGTGGCTTGGAAGAGAAAAGGGACTGCGCCAGTAAGTCCTCGTCCAAAGTGTAGCTTACCTGCGTTGTTAGCATCGTTGGGTGTGTCCCCACGCTCGTTCCTAGAGCTGTCTCTATCATTTTGAGGAGGCGGGCGTGGATATGCAGAAGGAGAAGGCTGAGCCAGCTGAGGGGGGGCACTTTCTTCGACGGGTGCAGGGCCAAATCGGCGACGATTGCCCAACGGCGCTGCGATAACAGATCAGCAAGGGTCTTTCCTGGACAAACTTGAAGAGCGGCACTTACTGTCGTTCGTTCCTGTCACTTCACGAGTTGCAGGTCTCCACATCGCTATGACAAGAAAGTGAAAAGGAAGTGTCAAGAAGAAAGAGCCAACAAGTGGTTGATGACTGATTTTGCCGGAGCTTGCAATCTGGAGAGGATTTTTAGTCGCCGCTTGAAGTGGGTGGCGTTGCGGATTTGTGGCCTCCTCGCGCGGCGACATCGACCCGCGTTCTTACACTCTTCGCTTACCCTTGGTTCTGACCCTGCAATTGTTTGTCACTGGAAGAGTCTGAAACTACTTCTTGAGCCAGGGCCGAGGTGCTCTGTTCATGGTTGGCAAGCGAGGGGCTGAAGGTGCGTACGTGCGAGTGGCTGACACATCAGGTTGTCTGGACCTCAGCGACCTCGTTAGAGCTCGGAGACTCTTCGTATCCCTTCAAGCGGTCAAGAAACACGAGAGACGATGATGACTTTGTCAATGTAGACGACGACGCGGAAAATTCTGCCGCGGACACCTCCTTAGTCCCTCGCGGTGCCACCATCAAGTTCAGTGCCCTTGCGCGCAAGCTCGCCCAGACACGCAAGCCAAAGGACACAGATGACGAAAAAGACGGCACCGCGCTGAGCGCACGTCAACGGAAGCAGGATAGTCTCGTCTCACATATTTTCATGGATCTGGACTTTTCGTGGCTGCACCTGAAGCCCGACCATTCGTCGCGCCCACTGTGGATCAGTCCAGAGGACGGCCATATCATCCTCGAAGCCTTCTCTCCCATCGCGGAGCAGGCGCAAGACTTTCTGGTAGCCATCAGCGAGCCTGTTAGCAGGTATGCATAACACTTTGGCTGAGGTAGGATGGGGCTGGACAGGCGTCGACAGACCAGCGTTTATTCACGAATACAAGCTCACCTCCTACTCTTTGTACGCCGCCGTGTCCGTTGGTCTGCAGACGGAGGACATAATAGAAGTTCGTGCGCCATGCGCCTTTGTGTCTACGCGCGCGCTAATTACTGAGCGTCCGCAAAGGTGCTGAATCGGCTGTCTAAGGTCAGTAGCTGCGATTATTACAACTCCGCAAGCCTTCATTCCCGCAAAGGTGCCTGTTCCAGAAAGCATTGTGTCGTTTATCAGAGAACGGACGCTGTCATACGGAAAGGTCAAGCTTGTACTCAAGCACAACAAGTATTTTGTCGAGTCAAACCACCCTGAAACGTTGCAGGTGCTGCTCAAGGACAAGATGATTAGGGAAGCTCGCGTCCACACGCAGGTAGCGGATAACAGCATCAAAGCGGCCACATTCACCACCTCAAAGGCCCCTGTGAAAGGCAACCTTGTCATCCCGGGCACAAGGGAGGCTGAGAAAAAGAAGGAAGAAGCTGCGAACGGCAAAGGGCCCACTCCGGCGGCGGGTGGTGCAAACACCGACGCCGAGCTCTTCACATCGGTAGTGGGCGTGGACGCAGGTAGGCGGCAGTTGCAAATTCGTCATTAATTTTCTCCGCTTACCCGCGCGTCACCGCCTGTAGACGAGGTGGACGAGGACGACGAGAACGTGCACGCGTTCGAGATTGACGATGCGAAGATTGACGTACGCAGATTGGTCGCGCCATCGAGACGGATCTGCATCTGACGCGCCCTTCCATGCAGGACGTCAAGAAGCGCTGCAATGAGCTCGAGTACCCGATGCTCGAGGAATATGATTTCCGCAACGACACCGTGAACGCGAACCTCGACATTGATCTCAAGCCGTCGACGGTCATCCGCCCGTATCAGGAGACGAGTCTGAGCAAGATGTTCGGAAACGGGTGCGTCGGCCGCTTCTCACGCTGTGCTGGCGAACTGAGTCCACCCCAGTCGCGCCCGCTCTGGAATCATCGTCCTGCCTTGTGGTGCCGGAAAAACACTGGTGGGTATCACGGCCGCATGCACAATCAAGAAGTCGTGTCTGGTTCTCTGCACGTCCTCGTGAGTGGCCGATCGTCCGCGCTGTCGGACGACTGCCCTAATCTGGCGGCGCTTTCCTAGGGTGTCGGTCATGCAGTGGAAGCAGCAGTTCATGCAGTGGTCGAACATCACGGACCGCCAAGTGGCCGTGTTCACCGCGGACCAGAAGGAAAAGGTGCGCCTGTCTATTTGCGCGCGCGCGACCCTTATCGGCCTGCACTGACCCCGGATGCAGTTTGCCGGTGATAGTGGCATTGTCATCTCCACCTACTCCATGGTCGCGAACACGCACAACCGATCGCACGAGTCAAAGAAGATGATGGAGTTCCTCACGTCCCGAGAGTGGGGCTTCATCCTGCTGGACGAGGTGCACGTCGTGCCCGCGGCGATGTTCCGCAAGGTCGTCACGACCATCAAGGCCCACTCGAAGCTCGGGCTGACAGGTGAGTGCGCCGTGGTAGGGAGCGCAGCGCGGGGGGCTGACGGACGGACGACTGCGCGCGGCGGATAGCAACGCTGGTGCGTGAGGACGACAAGATCGCAGATCTGAATTACATGATTGGGCCGAAACTGTACGAGGCGAACTGGATGGACCTCGCCGCGAAGGGGCATATTGCAAACGTCCAGGTGCGTTGCCATGGCGCCGGGTGCGCCGCCGCCGTCTGATGGCCGCATGTGATCAGTGCGCGGAGGTGTGGTGCCCGATGACACCGGAGTTCTACCGCGAGTACCTGCGCGAGCAGTCGCGGAAGCGGATGCTGCTGTACTGCATGAATCCGCGCAAGTTCCAGGCGTGCCAGTTCCTCATCAAGTACCACGAGGACCGCGGGGACAAGATCATCGTGTTCTCGGACAATGTCTTCGCGCTCGAGGTGAGGCAGGGCGTGGCGCCCTTTGCTCCACTCATGTACGCGCGGGGGCTGATGTGTGTCCGCAGGCGTATGCGAAGAAGCTAAAAAAGCCGTACATTCACGGAGGGACGGGCCAGGTCGAGCGCATGCGCATCCTGCAGTGGTTCCAGCACAGCCCAGACGTCCAGACCATCTTTCTGTCAAAGGTGCGCACACGGTGTCTGTCAATTGCTGATTTGTGCCGTTGATGGTGTCACCTGTCGTCAGGTGGGCGACACGTCGATAGACCTTCCCGAGGCGACATGCCTGATCCAGATCTCGTCACACTTTGGCTCGCGGCGGCAGGAGGCGCAGCGGCTAGGTGCGTGCACGCACGCGCGCGCGTGGCTCCGGCGGGGCGCTGACATAACATAATGATCACGATCATTCTAGGACGCATCCTCCGTGCGAAGCGGCGGAATGACGAGGGGTTCAACGCGTTCTTCTACTCGCTGGTGTCGAAGGACACGCAGGAGATGTTCTACAGCACGAAGCGGCAGCAGTTTCTGATAGACCAGGGGTACGCGTTCAAGGTGATCACGCACCTGGACGGGCTGGAGACGCTGGGGGGGCTGGTGTACAAGACCCGGGACGAGCAGATCGAGCTGCTGTCGTCCGTGCTGCTGGCGAGCGAGCACGAGGCGGACCCGGGGACGGACGTGCGGGCGGGCGAGGGCGATTTGGCGGGGACGATCACGTCGAAGGACTTTGGGGTGCCCGGGAAGATGCCAGGGGTGCAGCGGACGGGGGGCTCGCTGACGGCGCTGAGCGGGGGGCAGCACATGTCGTACGTGGAGCAGAACAAGTCTGCGAACAAGAAGCTTGCGCGGGAGGCTGCGCCGCGGCACAAGCTGTTTGCCAAGCGGGACAAGGAGGCAGCGGCGGCGCGGAAGGCGTCCAAGACGTGATGTCGATGGGGCGGGCGCTGAGTGCGCGGCGGATAAAGTACGGTACGGGGGATAATTTGTATATAATATCGCGAGCTGGATCCGGGTACGCCGGTGTACGCCGTATAGTACAGTGAATTTCATTACAGGTATCGGGAGTGCAGGATGAGAATGAAGTGGGTGGGGGCTGGGCAGAATTAAGCCTCGTTGGCATACGCGGCTGAGAGCAGAGGACGAAATGTATGACAGTCTTCTCCTCAAAAATGTTCGATTTTTCACTAGCAATAGGGCGCTGTCGGTGAGGGGATACCGATGTGCCATGTGAACAATTAGGCTGGTCAGGGATTCGTGCAGGGTTCAAGTGAGCTTACGGAAGTGGCTCTAGGCTGGTTCAAAAGTTGCGGGTGATCCGGGCTAACGGTGGACAGGGAGACTCGGTCCAACTCCAAGATCACCTAAAGATATGTAAACGTGACGGTTGCCATTCCCTCATCTGAGGTCTGAATATTGCTGCTAGAGCAACTCGATGGTGGCCCATGATACGGGGTGATATAAACTTGTTCTCAGATATCATTGGCCGGGTCAGATGGGTTGAACGCGCCTGCTACGAACATGCCTGTTACCGTAGAAACCCTACTGCACCTTCTGTGTCCATAGAGAGGCTGTGCCCTCGTAGACAATAAATGGAGTCGAAGAAAAAAAACAAAGGCAGTCCCTAGATGCGGCTTAGTATAGGCCAATCAGCCGGTATGAGCAGACACTGTCAGTCTCGGGACAATGACAATTCCGAGCATGCCTGCTCAAACAAGGGCCTATATCAGACAGACTGTCTGATATTGTGATGTAGTGCATACAGTCGTCTACCGGCCCTTGAGACAAGCCAAATCTTGTCGGCCCTCGGCCTGAAATAGAAGCCTCATGTCTTGATCAGACCTCTGTTCATCTGTATACTCGAGATCATTATCCGACGTATAGAAAGAGAGGGAGACCGCGATCAGTGCTTAGACGATTGTCTCTGTGATAATTTTCTGAAGTAGAAAAGCTCGAATTGGAAGATAATCCCCCTTCTATTAACTGCATTTGACATGGGTTTGTATCACAATCTGCGCCAGGAAGCGCGTTTTGCGAACGTGGATGTCGAGCGATCTGAGGTAGCACCGCTCCAAACGCATGTGAATGCACAGCTCGAAGTGATCGTGCATACATCTCGGTGGTAATCAAAGTGGGTGGAGTATCCTGGCATGCAAATTGAAAAAGAATTCACAACAGTGGGCAATCGGCTTCATGCTAGAATATTTGAGATATAGTATGACTCCAAGGTCACTCAGGGGGGCAGAACAAAATCAAGAGGGGTGGGGATATTGGTAATAGCGCGGGTTACTGTTAGCGATGACTTGAAACGGAGGTCGAGGGCCCGAGATCATGAGATACCGAAAGGCGAGACGGACATGATGTTGCAGACGCGCACTAGTGAGCGTGGAGCCGACAGATAAGAGGATTGAAGTATGCATCGTCGATAAGCTCGAAGAATGTATTGAAAATCAGATGGAAAAGGATGTGCCACCGACCACCATCGGGTAGGCCCATCATTTAAACCCTGGGCGCGCGGTAGATGGGTCTGATCACGATGTATGGTGCCGGGGATAATTTGTATATCGTGGGCTGGAACCGGGCACACGGGAGTGGAATATATTGAGAATAACCAATTGGGGGATATATGGGAGAGCGATGCGCCGCGGAAGTAGACGGAGTGGCAGAGTGTGGGGAAGACTGGAGGCGATCGAGTGGTGGGCGATCTGAAATACGAATCCGCTGGTAATTATGAGGCTGGTGGACTCGATTGCGTAAATTGGATATATGGGATTGGCAACGGGGAGCGCGGTGCTCTCGCCTGTGGGGGGCACGAGTGGGGGGGTACCACCATGGGGATAATGGCCGCCGGTGGGCTGATTACGTGCAGCAGGAGCCTGGTGGGGGCTGGCTCTGGGCGGCGAGGAAGAGAAGGAGGGGGGGGGAGGGCACGGGATGGGCCGGATCGGACGGGGCCGTTCTCAGAGAGCAAGTTGGAGCCCGGGGGATAAGCCCGCGAGCGTGAGTGCACTGCCGACGGCATTGGGGTCTGCATGCTTCAACTTAGCATTTTAGCTTCCTGCACGTGACACCGCCGGGCTCCGTGCCTGGCCGGTCGTCGGTCGTGTCGTCGGTGGCCGGGCGGGGACTGCGACGCCGGGACGCCGGGGTGGCGACGAGACGTGATGGAGAGGCCGGTCGGACTGGCTCTGGCCGCGTCCGCATGCACCGATCGACGCGTCAAACCCACCCTCGAGCTCAAAGTCGCTCCTAGCGCCCTTTATATCTTGTCACATGCTGCCCCTCCCCCATCTCCCCCTTCTTCCCCTCTCCCCCCGCCCGTCCTCCTCCTCCTCCCATGTCCTCCAAGCGTGGCCGAAAGCGCAACGACAACCTCCCCCCAAACCGCGCCCGCGATGTCCAGCGCGCCTTCCGTGCCCGCCGCGCAGCCCATCTCGAGGTCCTTTCTCTCTCTCTCTCTCCCCCGTCTCTTGTCTCCCGCTCACTTTCCTCCCCAGGCCCTCGAACAGCGCGTCGCAGAGCTCGAGGACGAAAACAACACCCTCCGTGCTGCTCTCAACCTCCCCCCCGCAAACCGTCTCCCGCTGGGCAAAGGGCCCACCGGCAAGGACAAGCCCAAGCCGCCCCCTACAACCCAGGCTGGCCCCTCGTTACAGATAGCTTCCGGCTCAGGCACGTCATCTCTCCCTCCCATTTCTGCCCTCCCCCATCTCTCTCCTACGACATCCGTCCCCTCAACCAGTCGGACAGATTCTCCCTCCTCCAATTCCACCCGCACCACCTCTCTATCCCCAAACAGCCTCAATGCCGCCCTCGCCGCCCACTCCCACTCTCTTCCCGGCATCGACTCGGCCTCCTGGGATGACCCCATGTTCACAGGCAAGGATCAGCCGGAACCAACCTCTTCCTCCTCAAACACCACCCCCTACACCATCCCTCCCGTCCCTGGCCCGTCCGCCTCCCATTCGTCTCCTTACGCCTCCTCCGCCTCCCGTCAGTCCATCGAAGACATGTACATGTCCTCTGCCTATGGCCATACTGCGGACAGGTCCATGGGCGCCACAGACCCTTACTCAGGGACCAGTTCATCAGCCTTCCTCCTCCGCGATGAGCGCCGTGAGCCACGCTTCTCGTACTCGCAGCCCTCCTTTCCCACGCATGCGTCCCAGCTACACCCCCACTCTCCCGTCTCGGCCATATCGCCCACAATGCCCCCGCAGGGCGGGGGCCTCTCTCTCTCTTCGGCGTCCTACGCCCACCGCAGGTCCATCACCGAACCGCACTACCGTCCTCCGACGCTCAACCCGATTCCGTCAATTCCGCAAATGCGCCTGCCGCAGCCCCCCACACATCCCTTGCGCGTGCCCTCGCCGTCGCAGATGTCGGGATCCGCCCCCTCGCAACACCCGGGGTATGATGCGGGCGGAGAGAGAAGGCTCGATCGGATGCGTTAGAGCCGCAGGTGGCGTCTCGCATTTTTTGGTTTATCAATTGGGTCGCATCTGCCTCGTCGCACTTGTTCGTCCAGGACTACTCTGCATACAAAAAGACATACTGTATCGCTACTGCCCGCCCGGCGCGCACCCTGTGTTTGCGCCCCCCGCTGTCCGCCGCTATCCATATCCACACATGTACTTGCCGCTGCACATCTCCATAGATCTGACTACATCGCGCGCGTGGCGCGTAATTATACTAATCCAAGGCGGCTGCCTCTTTCTAGAGCTCTTGAAGTAGTGATGAGCGAGACTCGAGGCAGCCACAGCTGGCCGCCGCTCCCGAGAGTCTTCGACCCAGGCACCGGCGCGGTCCGGCGCACGCTCAGATGCACTTTCTACCCTGGCAACGGAGGGCACGGGAACGGCCTCTGTCGCGGGGCGTGTCTTGCGTAATCCACAGCGGCGTGCTGCGCGCACGGCCCATGCCACGGACGAAATCACGACCGCATGATGATGGTTATTTTATTCGTGTATGCAGCAGGTAATGTATGTACGCAGCACCGGCATGCACGCAACAGCAGCACGGCGCAGCGGGTTCGCCTGCGGTGCACCATGGCACCTGCCCAGACTCGCATGCGGGAGGGGCGCCGGCGCACCGTCTCGCCGCCCGCGCTGATGCACCATCTCCCGCAGGAGACCCCGCCGCTATTACAAGTGGATATAACTCGAGAGCCGAGACTTGTCCTTGTCCTCCCTCCTCCCCTCTCCCCCCGCACGCCGCGCCGCTTGCGGACCCCACGCCGAGCCCGTCCGTCCGTCCGTCCGTCGCCGGCGGCGGAAGCATTGCTGTTTTTTTCTCTCAAAAAATCGCGATATCGAGTGGCGGTCAGTATGTGCACGCGCGCGTGCGCGCGCGCTGGTATGTACGGTTCGTCAGTCCGGGTCCGCGTGGGCCTGTGTGCGGCGGCCGGGTCAGCGGACGCAGACGCGGGCGCGGGCGCGCGGCGGGGCACGCACCAGTCACGCATAGATATGTACGGGCACGCCGCGGGCGCAGAGCTGCGCCTGCGCGCGGCGGGGGCTCAGAGCGCGCACCAGTCGACGGCGCCGTCCGTGCCGTACTTTTGCACGAGCCAGTCGTTCGCTTGCTTGAAGTGGCCGTTGCCCAGGAAGCCGCGGTGCGCGCTGAGCGGCGACGGGTGCTGCGCGGGGGCAAAAAAAAAAATTGGGATCAGCCGCGGCGCGCGGGCGGGGATAAGACTCACCGCGCTGGTCAGGATGAGGTGCTTTTTCTGCGGGCGGGGTGAGTGAGCGGCGGGCAGCGGCGG